GCAACATTGTGTTCACTCAATATGAATTCTTTGCCAGTTAACTCTATTTGGTTACACAAGTGTAACTGCGTCATTGTTAGTGCTGTTTTCGCTTCTCCAGGTATATGAAGATCTACCTTAGGAGTTACTACAGGAATGGTGTTAGGTAAAGTAAAGATCAGTGTATTGTTTTCAATTTGAATACGATCAATCGAAATAAAAGGAAGCACGTCGCCAAATTTGTTCAGATTTGCTGAACAAACATATGTAGTGTTATCAACGTGTAAAAACCATTCTTCTTGTAATATTTTATGAACAGTTTTCAAAATATGCTTTAGTTGTAGCGGCGATTTATTTACTTCCATAGTTGCATGGAAATATGTTTTGTTTGGCATTTTAGGGTTTATGACAAAATGTATGAAGATGATAGAGAAGTGTTTTGGCAATTGTGAGGCAGTTTTGATAGTGACTTTCTTGGACATCTTCAGTTTATCTACATCGAAGTCCACCTCTACTGTTAGATTGAGATAAATTTCAACATATCGATCATACCAAACTCTGACTGCGAGTACGCATTCACCAAAACTATCAAACAAATGTCCAGAAGGGCAATGTACAGGTCGGCATGATTTGACCTAAAATAGAAGACATAAAATAGTTAAAATATGTCTATATTACTGGTGATTTTAATAAATTTTGTCAATATTTAAATTCACTGTGAAAATATAGCTCTAGATTATTTAAATTTTAACTTACTTGTATACAGTTTATAACATTACAAATATTAAGAAGATTAAATTTAATGAATTTTAAATGCTTTATGTTCAATACCAATTTTCTAAAAAAATAGAAGATTGGGGCTTTACTTATTTACATATAGAGAGCGGACCGGTAGATTAGAGGTATCGTGAGGTTTCCTTATTGTTGATGTATTGCATCGAGTGCAAATTTCATTTTCCACTTTAGTTCTCTTGATTTTACAAATTTATGACACGATTTATCTAAAAATAACATATCGAACCTATAGAAAAGCTTGAGGCCACTTTCAGCTTTTATAACATACAAAAAAACCCATATATTTCTTAATGATATGCTTAATAAAATCAAAATCGAATGCAAACAAACATCTACGTGTACTTACATTATCCCCCCTACATGCTTTTCGAATCAACGTTCCCGGTGATTTGCTTGTCAACCTTTTCGTGAGAAGAAAGTCCATGTCAATCAGTGCTACAATGTTTTTAGTTGTAAATCCACCTCGAGCAGAATGAATAGACCTCATATTCGGACATAAACCTTCCTGCTTGAAATTTTCGCCGTTGCATATATGACAAAAAACGTTGGCATACATTTTCTGTTGCCTATATGGTGATAGGAAACCGCTTGTACATGCTGCCATTATTTCCTCTGCAGAAAAATTGGCCACATTAGGTGTTGACATCATTGCTGAGTTCGGGCAGTCATCAATTACATCATCAAAGCATTTTAATTTTTGTATTTCTTCGCCATTAAACATGAAATTTATGTGACAGTTTTTAGACTTAAAGCCACCTCTGAGTACAAAATCAATTAAATAGCTATCATCGTTTTCTATAATAATGCTTTTATCATCGTGGTGTAATACGGATTCTGCATTACAGCTTAGAAGAATATCCCAAGCTTGACCATCTTTGACATTATCAGCATCTGCACATGCCCTATTCTTGTAGATCTGTTGCTTACTTGCAGAGTATACGGGGAACAGGCTTCCCCAGAAGGCGACTCTGGTATCCCCGCAAGCTAAACCGGAGTTATCTTCATTCATAACAGAGGTTATCATAAAATAAGAATGGAACAGAATCTTTGTTTCCACTGGAAGGACAAATGTAGTAGGATGAAGACATTCACGCTTGAAGTTTGATGCTTCAGAATCTTGTTTGTTTAGAAATATTTCTTCTTGCGGAAAACAGCAATCACCGAAATCGATGCAATCCGGTTGACAAGAGCATTCTGCAATAGAAGTTATGAACATGGAGAAACTTGTGAAAACTTTTGTCCTAATTGATTATGATAACATTTATGATGATGATCATCATCATTATAATGATATTTTCAAAAAAAGAGAGAGATGCAAGCATTAAACTTGTATCTGTGAAACAATATGTTAATCGTTATTAATATCGATGTCTTGTAGATATGTATTAAAAATGATTTCTAGATTAAGATGGTGATATTGAACAATCGACATTACATACAGTCAAACTTGTATAAAGAGGGTTCGAGGGAAAATCCGTAACATTCTCTTAATACAAAGCACATTAGCACTGTCAGCAGATACTGATAAAGGGAATTCAAATGTTCTTTTCTTACAGAGATCAAGACTAATTGTCACGTAGCAGAATTATCCAGCAATATTATGATTTGTTTGTTATTTGAAATGACATTCAGAATTACCAACATATATAAATCCAAATGTTGCGAGACTAGGTTAGAACAACGTTTTTTATTGGTATTGTCTATAAATAATGAAATGAAATGAGAAAAAAAGCGTGAAATTGCTTGGGGATTTTATAAACAAAGACACAAGCACGAGCAAGTCAAGACTGTATTCTTTGAATGGCATCTCGAGCGCTTATACAAAGAATTTGTAACCAAAAACACAGATGTGTTCTTTTTAAGCAAATGGAACAAACGTAAATTAAAACTTACCGGTGCAACAGGATCCATAATCTTTGAAGTTGACGAAACGGCTTATGTCCGGCATTTTGGTGTCACATAAATTGGCTCCTGGACATAGTGGTGCTAACATGTCACCGATGTTTAACCACTTTAGTGAATCATTCTTGTAATTGTTTGACAATATCAGAGATCTGTTCTCATGAATGTCTGGCATCATCAACGATCTCCTTTCAGCAGCTCTATTCTCACTTACAAAACATGTAACAATGAGAAATAAACGGAAAATCATATTCGTGTTTAATCGATATCCCACCTATCTTAGAATTTATTCAGTTCGTCTGAGATTGTCAATTCTGTATAAGATAAGGTTTTGACAAATAACGCTGAATATTGTTCACAAATACCTTACCGGCAACAACTTAACAATCATGTCAACTTGATTCTTAATATATAGTGTATGTTTGTCCAATTAGATATTAGATTCACGAAAGAAAAACAACCGTTACTGCAATATTATTTCAATATTGCTTCCATCTTTTATACTTGAAACAGTCTTTAATGCTATTACATTTGACTTCTGATTAACGTAATTAATATTGTGATTTAAATTGCATTTATTAATTACAAAACCAAATTAAATTAGTCAACCACTGGGGGATATTAAAGCAATTAAATAAGAAAAAAAAGCTATATATAAATTATACATTTGATTAATTCTGCTGGAGACGCACATCTGACACCTGGTAATCACTTTTAGTCAGTCAAAAATTATTGTTATTAGTAAAGTGTCCAACAAACTTGAACTTTTTCTACAAATACTTTTTTGTTTGAGTTAATTCTACATTTCAAGCATGTAATGTTATGTCATACATATACACCAAAACAATCGGACTTAATATTTAAAAAAAATGATCTTCCCTTTTATTGCATTTTATCTATAGATTATTCAGCGTTTAGAGATGCCCCTATCAAGTATGTAATAGATGTGAAATTTTCATCTGCGCAATCTGGTAAAAGACAGGGTCTTTTAAAGGATGTATTAACTTCCTTATCAGCATCTTACCATAAAAGCAGCATGCCTCCAGATTCATGCTAATTTTAATAAAAATTTTGAACATGTATTTAAAAGTAAAATACTGTGAAGTGAACAAAGAAACTAATTTACAAAATGCTATTATACGCTGCACTTCGTCATGATAATATCTTTCACTGTGTGAAGTTTTAATTAAATTCCGTCAATAATTTTCAAGTTTTTTAATTAATATTATAAAGGGTATAACTAAAAAAGTAAGCAATGTAGGGTTTCGGTTGTTTGACATTGAACCATCTCTCACTAATCTCTACACTGTGATGACATTAATAGTTAAGAACTTATACTCCGAATACTATCAAAAAGGGAGCAAGCAAGCAAGGCAAAATTCCGATATTTTGCCATTGCACTTCCTTTCACTGGTATCTATCACTGTGTAAAGTTTTCCTTCTATATTTTTCAAGTTATTCTCCAGACAAGCATTTTTAAGTATTATAAAGGGAGACAATATGAAAACTAAGCAATGTAGAGTTACGGTTCTTTTTCTTTGCACTTCCTTTTTTCGAGTCTCTACAAATGTATGTAGTTTAACGATATATTAAGGCATTTTTAACTAAAGGGAGATAATTCAAACATTAAGCAAAGTAGAGTTATAATTCTTGGACACTGCATGTCCTATCAAAGGTCTTTATAAATAAAATTTCTTCAACACTTCTCAAGTTATTCTACAGACAAGAGTGTGACAGATGGACGGACGCAACATTAACTAGAAATGTGTCCATAGGACACGGATGCACCCACTCTTCACTGTTTGTTCAATCTTAGGACTCTAGGTAAAATATTTTTGGGCTACATGTGCCACAAGTTGAAAAAGGGCCATATTTCTGTTAAATTTGGTCGCAGCAAAAATTCCTTCCTTTACTTCCATCAACACATTAAGGTTGTTCATCCCTGGAAGTTAAAGCAAAGTCTGCCATCCGGTTTAAGAGGAGTTGCGGTCACAAAATTTCTATATGGTATATAGTGAAAAATTCAACAGAAGACCATAATTTTGTTAAATTTGGTCGCAGCAAAACTTCCTTCCTTTACTTCCATCTACACATTAAGGTTATTCATCCCTGGAAGTTTAAGCAAAATCTGCCATCCGGTTTAAGAGGAGTTGTGTTCACAAGATTTCGGGACGTACGGACAGACAGACGTACGGACAGACGGACAAGTGCAACGCTATATGCTCCCCACTTTGTAGAGGCATAAAAACGTCATAAAGTGCAAAATCTGTCATTTTCATCTCAGAAACAAATGAAAACCTTCATTACACAAAACAACACAGTAATAATTAAATATTATTTTAATAGATTCATAAATACAATAAAGCATACAAAATTATTGCACTGCATTTGTACATTACAAAAATAAGACAGAAATATTACCGTAGTTATGAAATCTTATTATCTATGAATATTGTTTAGAAACAAAACTACATGTGTCAATCTTTTATTATTGAATTATAAAAAGTTTTTGGGTATTTTTTTTACTTTTGTCTTTTACTATTTAAGTTATTCTAAACAACTGATAAAGAAGCAATAGGTAATTGAATAACCAACCTTACTGAAAGAAGAGTTCCATCTCAACTTTAGTTTACACATCAAGAAGATGTTGCAGTGCTACCAAAGTTATTCAAATATTTACTTTTTTCTCAAATTTTTACCTCTATCTTGTTAAAAACTTGTGTGTTTTTTTAATCATGCCCTTTATCATATATTTTAAAATGATATTCAATACTGAAAGCTTTAATTGCCCTTTAACAAGAGATTTTGGAGAACTTTATGTATAAAAAGGCAAATCTATTTTTAGCTATAGCAACCAAAAATATGGGCTAGCCAACTTTACTTGTAAGCCTTATCAATAAAAGAAAAGACGGTACAGGCCAAAAAAACTTACTTTTCTTGTTTTAAGTCCGAGTTCTTAGCTCTTAAAAATTCGTATAAAATGAAAAAATTAAAATTACTGGCATACAAAAATGCTACACAGCCAATATAAACAAAATCTGAACAGTACATTCAGGGGAGCTAATTCTTGCTTACTCCTGATGCAGGAGCATCCATGTTTAACTTACAGCTCCACTTTGACATTTTAAAGCCACAAACTTTGACATCAGATATAAATTATCCAACCCAGACCCATAAAACAATGGGCATAAGGGGAATATATCTCCCATGAGACCAGTGAATACCATTTTTTGGCCAAACTTCTTCCAGAATTTTTTAACTGTAAGTATATGTTTTTAACTGGATCACATCACTTTAACCATAGTAGATATGACAAAATCTTTATAATGAAAATTATTAATAAGAGCTACTTTTGTGATGTTCACAAAAATTTAAACTATTTTTGAGGTGTGCGGCTTTAATTCTGATATGCTCACCAATATGACTATGGCATGTCATACGTAAGCTATATTATCATACTTAAACTTACTGATCTTATACATGCAAAACAAACAAAATTCAAAAAAATTTCATTTAAGAAACTGTACAAGACAAAGACAACTTGACATGTATGTAAATTCATTTTGGTCAAGAAATGAAATTTCAAGAACATATAAGATAAAATATAATTGTATCATGCAAGAGTGGGCATTTTAGTAGAATAAGCTAGCTGGATAGTAACATTAAATGAAAGAATCCAAAAGTTCCTGATAGGGATTCAAACCAAAAGTCATAAGGGGCAATTGATTTGAGGTCAACAGCTTTAACTGCTTGGCCAAAGCCATCTCAACACACAAGTTAATAAATATGTATCTGTTTATATACAAAAACTCAAACTCAACAATTGTTATCACGATTGATATCAGTCTAAATGTTGCTTAAATGAAATAAACAAAGTAGCTGCTTTATTTGAAATTGACCAATCAGAATCATATTTACAAGACAGCTTACATCTAATCTAACAAACATAAAATACCTTTCTTTTTTCTAAAAGAAAAAAGGCAGTGGGAAGCTCTTTGACTATAAATTAAACATATCTATATTACATGGTATATACAAAACAAACAATGCATTCCAAGTAAATGCTTCGACTTTACATGGAAATTCCAAGCACATTACATTCAAAACATGCTTTTTGAGAAAAATCAAAATTAACAATTCTAAAATATGTAAAGTTTAAAAGATACAGCTGAAACACCCAAAAGAAAATATTGAGTACAATACTGAAGGGTTATCTTTAAAGACAAAAAAGTATTTAAAAAAAACCCAGTCATTTCTTTATCTTTATATGTCAACCAAAAACTTTTTACATCTAACAGTCACTAAACAATAATTTGGGGAATTAAGTTTCAACATTCATTGTTTACTCTATACCTGCTAAAACCAAAATATATTAGCTTTTGACAGCAATATAGAGCCAGGCCAGCTTGCACACCCAGACCAACACGTACACCCAGGCTAGTGCTTGCACAACCAGGCAAATACTGACAAGCTTGCACACCAAGGCCAGCGTTTGCACACCCAGGCCAATCCAGAAAAGCTTGCACATCCAGGCCAATCCAGAAAGGCTTGCACACCCAGGCCAGCGCTTGCACACCTAGGCACATCAAGGCCAGCTTGCACAAACATGCAGTATGACCAAGCTCTATATTGTTGATAGCTTATTTTTTGTAATTGAGGTTTGAAATCCGTTTAACTTACAATTGTCTTCCAAAATTCAACGCTGGGCCCATTACATACATTCAGCAGGTTAAATGTTAATAAAGAGAGTTTGATATAGTACAGGTAAAAAACTGAAAGACAAATAGCTTTACATTGTGTCAAGTGCAGTAGCATAATAATGCTTAAACAATGCAATCTGAATGTTTAAACAATGCTGCAAGCTATGAAAAAAGCCTTTAATATTTTTTAAAATAAAGAAAGCATTGATAACTAATAGCACCATAAATACAATTTTGATATAGAGCATAGCTAAACTGACTTCAGCTATTCAGTAATCAGCTATCATCAGACTGGGCTTTAGATATATTTCTAGCAGGAACACTTCCCGGTGATGGTAATAAACGTTTACTACGCGGTGTCGAGAGACCTGACGCTCGATCTAGTTCTATCACTTTTTGTACGCTGTCAACTAAGCTGTTTATAGATTGCTGTACATCCTCCGCGGTAAATTGCAACTGTTCTACAACTGTGTCAGATAGCGATGGTGACTGCTCATCGTTTGAATTATCTCCCTTTGTAGTCGATGTTTTCCTGACATCGCGTGTTGTTACTTCAGTTACACTGACAGAGTATTTACGTATCATTTCAGCACATTTTATCAGTTTCCTGATATCAAAGTCACGTCCTAAAAAACAAAACAAACCAAATATAAACAAAAATCAAACACATCAAATATCTTGGCAATTCATTCAATAAGTAGTACAACATAGGTAATTTGGTGTTCTGAGAAAATCTGCAAATATCATTGTTTGTAATAAGAAAGTGACCTTCACATAAAACAACAATAAAATGAATTTAAAAATGGATTTAACTCAATACAAGACTGGAGCAGTAGAATTCTACCTCTTGCAGAAATCATGACCACAAAATAGAGAAAACTAGAACTGTGTCCAAAGGACATGGATGCCCCCACTGACAACATATATATGGTATATAGTGAAAAAATCAACAAAGGGCCGTAATTCTATTAAATTTGGTCGCAGCAAAAATTCCTTCCTTAACTACCATCTACACATTAAGGTTGTTCATCCCAGGAAGTTTAAGCAAAATCTGCCATCCGGTTTAAGAGGACTTGCATTAACAAAATTTCTATATGGTAGATAGTGAAAAAATCAACAAAGGGCCATAATTCTGTTAAATTTGGTCGCAGAAAAAATTCCTTCCTTTACTGCGATCTACACATTAAGGTTTGTTATCCCAGGAAGTTTAAGCAAAATCTGCCATCCGGTTTAAGAGGAGTTGCGTTCACAAATTTCTACATAGTATATAGTGAAAAAAATCAACAAAGGGCCATAATTCTGTTAAATTTGGTCGCAGCAAAAATTCCTTCCTTTACTACCATCTACACATTAAGGTTGTTCATCCCAGGAAGTTTAAACAAAATCTGCCGTCTGGTTTAAGAGGAGTTGCGTTCACAAAATTTCTACATAGTATATAGTGAAAAAATCAACAAAGGGCCATAATTCTGTTAAATTTGGTCGCAGCGAAAATTCCTTTCTTTACTACCATCTACACATTAAGGTTGTTCATCCCTGGAAGTTTAAGCAAAATCTGCCATCCGGTTTAAGAGGAGTTGCGTTCACAAGATTTCGGGATGTACGGACAGACGTACGGACGGACGGACAAGTGCAACGCTAAACGGTCCCACATTGTGGGGGCATAAAAATTTCCGCTGATTCTTACAACGTTCATTCATTATCATATAGAAATTGGTGTGAAAAGATGAATTAGATGTTTTAAAGTTAATTCCCTAATGTGAAAAGGCGTGATTTTAGCATTTAATCATTCAAGCCTCTTGTCCGGTATGAACCAGTATATGATACTTAGTGTGGTGCTCCAATCCTTTTTTTAGTCTCACTCTTTAAAAATAAAGCTAAGAAGGAGAAAATAACTGTGCCTGTATAAAAATAAAGTTGAGCTCAATCTGCCTTAATGAAAAAGCGTTCCAAAACTGACACTTACCTTCTATAATAGGTTCAGCATTTTGTACCAGCATGCCAACACCTTCTACAAGTGCACTTACATGGGAGATCAATGCCTCACAGCGACGATAACTACCTGTGCAATATTGTAGAGATCCGTGGAAAGATTGCTCTAAATTACTCATGTCTACCTCTACCTGAAAAACACACAGTTGAAATTGAAATTATCACTTACTTGACAACAAACAAGAAGAAATTTTCTATCAGGCTAAATTTATTTTCAAATTTATACAGTAATAATAATGTAGTTACTTTTCAGCTTAATTTAGTTTAACTAAATTAATCACTAACCTGAGAACAAACAAAAAGTACATTTTCTATCACACTATCCCCCCCCCCCCCAATTTACAGTGAAATTGCTATTAACCTTAATTTAATTAATCTAAATTAAAAGTAAGAATTAATTGTAAACTGGTAATATTTCCTCTGTCAAATTAATTAAAAGGAAATATAATAGCTGTTTTTAACTCTAATAGTATAAACATTTCAAAGATGTTTGAAATTATGGCAAAATTTCTAAGAAAATCTCTACAAATCAAACATGACAGTTATTTAGATGAAACTATTTGAATGACTGCACAGGAAATGCTGTGCATTCCTTTTCTTTTTTTAGACGACTTCATCCACTGTTACTGTTGTAGCTCATAAGACCACATAAATCAGGATAAACCAATACCTGCCTGGTTAACACAATAAGTGCAATAGGCTAGCCCAATATTGCTTGGCTAACACAAAATCTGCCTGACCCACACAATAATTGTTAAACTCACCCAAATCGTAGGCTAACACAATTATTGCTAGGCTAACATAATTATTGCTAGGCTTACACAATAATAACTTGCCTAACATAACAACTCTCAGGTCAACAAAATAATTGTACAGCTAACCAAATAATTACACAATTGCAAAGTCAAAACAATTACTGCTACACTAACACAATTACTGCTAGATTAACACCATAACTGCTAGACTAACACAATTAACTGATAGGCTAACACAAACAAACTGATAGGCTAACTCAATTACTGCAATTAAAGGAAAGGAATTAATATAAGTGTTATGCTTGTTTTCCAATCCATATATATTGTGATGTAAAAATGTTACATGCTTGTAAATATTGATGAATAAAAATATGTTTAAACTAATTACTGCAAGATTAACACCATAACTGCTAGACTAACAGAATTAAGTGATAGACTAACACAATAACTGCTATACAAACAGTCAATAACTGTGATACAAATAGTATATGTAAGTTTATAAATAAACCTGATAACATTACCTGTAGTTTTTGACATTTCAGTAACAGATCCTTGCAAGTTGTTACACATATCTCTACATTCTGTGGAACATCTCCCAGTGCCTGTAAAAGTTATTACAATAAAACATTATTGTGTTCTGGAGAGAAACTTTATGTTTTATGCTACCAATACAGTGTGTAACATCACCTGCACTAAAGTGGACACCATCTAGCAATAAACAACCATGATTTCATTTACCATTTTTGGTATTTATAGACATGGATGTATGTGATGTAAAGAATTTATAGTTCTGTAAAAGATTTTTTAAGCCTTTCTCTAAAAGAGTTCTTTAAAACAGGTTTCCCTGTATGATGCTTTTTTTTTAATATCATCTCAGTGCAATTTAAAAATGCTATGGTCTATATACAAATGACTTAAACAGAAATGATATATGCATTTATCTTACCATATTTGATAGCCCTGCATCTGTTAGCATTTGAGCTTTGGTTTCAAAGTCATCAACAGTTCGTAATGCACCTTGTAGAGTTTTGTCTATGAATGTTTCACAGCCACTGAAAAATGACTGGCTCACCTCTGTTGTAACCTGACAAATTATGAATAAATATGTGAAAGTTAAGTATGTCACAGAGAAGTCGTCTTTCATAAAAACCTGCTTTACATAGACCCATCCATATAACATACATGAACATTTATGATTTCATTTATCCTGGAACATTTTAGAAAATGATCCCTTTAATTCTTGCAATGATAGTTAGATAGTTTTTTTCAATGATTAAGAACCCTCTATTTGAACTTGGAACTTAAGCACAAATCAACGATTTATGATATAAAACCTTTAAAGCCAAATCTTTATACAAGAATAACCTTATGATCAAAATTGTTTTATTATTTTACTTTATTATTCTATTAAAGTCAAATGAATTAAACAATACATTTCTACACCAGACATACCTAAATAAAACCTAGATTGACGTCTTCATTCAATTAGCAAGAGACAGTGAACAGACTGTTTTTGCTAACCAGAAATATTTCAGTTACAAACTTTTTTTTCTCTTTTATTTTTCAAACTTGACAGAAAACTACTAATACCAATACTCATTTATTTTCATATTCCAAGCTGGAAATCAAAGAAGCCCTTAATCAAGCAAAGAAGATGGAGTAAATGTTCTTCTAGGAGGCCAAATTTACAGGTATAGCTTCTTATCTGTTCACCCTCTGAATAAATAACTTAAGACTGTATTACCTGGCCATCTTTGCCTGTCTGACTAGAGTTATCATCAAAGTAAAGCATGGGAGTGTCGGTTGCTAGTGCCAGCTCCCCCGCCAGCTTACACACATGGTGTATACTGTCTGACAGTCGTGATGTAGATTCCTCGATCAGGCTGTCTATATCACCTTCACATCCCTGATAAGATAATCATTGATTATAGTGACTTGTGTGTTTTGACAATAATTACAAAACTATATATATATGATTATTATAATAATAACACCCAGCCCTATGGGCCTATAAGTCACCTTGCTCTGTATTTTTTTAATTACAGCACATAATTATCATTTCCATTTTTCAATCATACCATGAAATAAAACATTGGCTTTTACAAGTAAGATACAATCCTACTTAATCAGTTACTGTGTAAAGCTATATCTCTGCTGCCTGCAGTTTACAAATTGTTTGTTTCCATTCTGAAAAAATGATACTTCCAAAATGCCTATATGAAAGGAATGCTTAATGGTTACAACCTACTTAAATAGTAGCATTATATTTTGTTCGAGAATGTTACAATCTATTTCTGACATCTCATTCAAGATTCACCCATAAGTTTGTGGAAACAATGCAAATTAACCTCTCTTTTTTTTGTATTTCAAGAACATATTCTATAGATATAGCTCTATACTTTACAAAGTGTAAACATTCCACAAAAAATAAAATGAAAAATGTGTTTGCTTTTTGATCTTTAATATATCTTATCCATACTAAATCACTTTAAAATTCTATCAACATTTGAGCCGCGTCACGACAAAACAAACATAATGGGTTTACGACCAGCATAGATCCAGACCAGCCTGCGCGGATTGCGCATCCGCGCAGTCTGATCAGGATCCATGCTGTTCGCTTACCAACAAGTAGAGAAACTGATGGCGAACAGCATGGATCCTGATCAGACTGCGTGGATGCGCAGGCTGGTCTGGATCCATGCTGGTCGCAAACCTATTATGTTGGTTTTGTCGTGACATGGCTCATTTTGTTTTCTAGAAATATTTCATGAGAATATATTATCCAATTAACAATTGTTTTAATCAATATTTGAAATTCTTATGGAAAATGTGCCCTTTGTGTAGACCAATCCACTTTAAAAATAAAATTCACATAAATTAAAGTGCAATGTATGTTTTATTCATAGATAATCAAACTTTAAATACATTTCATACCAAAAATCAAAAAAAATTTGTAATAAAAATAATGTTAACTTTGAAATATACCTGCATAAACCTGACAATATGTCCACCCATATTTTTCACTTGATCCCCTATTCTCTGCAGCAGGTCCTGAATAAGTGCTGACTGTAGAGATTGATACATCGATGCCCACAGTGTTGTATTGTTCAATAAAACATGAAAGCTGTTAGTCATCTGTATACATATAAGCTGTAGCAGGTCTGTACGACTGGCCTGATTGTTGTTGGTTTCCCTGGAAACGGGAAGGTTAGATGTCTGGTGAAGACTTGCATTCAAACTTTGACAACTGTGAAGAATCTTGTCTGCAATACTTTCTTCCATTGTAGATGCTTGAATATAGATAGAAAGATTAAAATCACACTGTAAAATTTTTTGAACAGGATCCGTTTTAAGACACAAATACCAGTCTCAAATCTGTTAAATACAAAAGTTATGGTCATATTTATCCATGGTCAAAGTAATATTTCAGTATGTCAAAATAAACCACACTAAACACTATTACAGGGCATAAAATATAAAACACATTTAAATAATTAAAAATAAATTGACTTTAAGGAATAATTTAAGATTCAACGTTCATTTTTGAAAAGTAATGTCTTACACAATAAACAATATGTCCGATGTCTTAAAAAGTCATAATAAAGCCCTTTTTGCTATATTTCAATGCCAATTTTTTTTCTTTATGTTATTTTTTTGGGTCTTTTGAATGGAATCTTCATCAATTTAATTAACGTCCTACATAATATAAAAAATAATTCCAAGGGATACTATAAATTTCACAAAATCAGGACTTTTAATCTTGCCTTCCCAGTATTTACTTCTCTCAAATACCTAAGCATTCACAAAATAAATGTAATAAATTGATAAACTTACATTTAATTGTACTCAAAGTAACATTCAAAATATCTTTACAAAGGGAAGCAACTCCAGGTCCAGAACATTTGGCACAAGTATCCCCCTTAATTAGTGAATCTGAAATAACGCAAGACAACGTGCATTAACTTTCAACCAATATATATAACACCACTTTAGAAAGTGAATGATCATCATTCAATTAACACTTTTACAAAAATTACACACTTATAATACTCAATAATAATACAATTCATCTCTAATTTTACACAGAATACATTGTGAAAGAATATGAATGTATAATCTGTGTGGAAGTGAAGATAATTTAACAGATGACAAGCATGCAGTTTATGACTTGGCCTTTGTATATAAAAAAGACTGGAAGATGCCCTGTAAGTCCTTTGTAAAGAGTAAAACATAAGCTGTTAATGGAAATTAAAACAAATATGTAATCTATCAGTACTTTGTTGACATCTTATCAGTACAATCTATTGGTTTGTTTGTTTGTTTGGGTTTTACGTCACACCCACACAGTATAGGTCATATGGCAATGTTCCAGCTTTACTGGTGGAGGAAGACCTCAGTTGCCCTTCCGTGCATTATTTCAGGCACGAACAGGCACCTGAGTAGAACCGACTTTCCGTAAGCTAGCTATTTGTAATGGAATAACAAAAAGATGTTTCATTTTTATGCGAAGTTTTGTTTTTTTATATATGGGAATTACAAACCAAATGTGACATTTACCTTTCCTGAACAGACTGCTGTTTACACTGGAAATACTGGACAGTAAGGCTTGTCTCAGACTGGGTGACGGAACTGAATGTCTCTGTCCATTTCTGTAATAGTAAGATAGAGCAATGAATAAAGATACATAATACTTAAATTCTGATGATTACTTTTCAAGGCTAAAACTTTAAACAGGGATTAGTCTATCAAAGAAAGTTGTATTGATTTACTTGTATTCCATTTCAGACAACACACATATACATGTAGGAACGCATGTTAGTAGGCACCAAGTAAGCTGCCAAACTACTGTTTAAGTTTACCACAAAAGACTAAATAAATTACCCAGTTCCTGGTGTTATATTTGTGTACCTAAGCTGCTCTACCACCACTAAAGTAGAATTAGAATTCTGATTTTAATCTATTGTCCCCTCTTTACCTGTTTATATTGACACAATACTTAAGGATCAAACTTAGGTCTTAACATAACAAGAGCTGTCAGAGGAGACAGCACACTCGATTAATAAAATATAAAGGAAGGCAAAACTATTAAGAAAATTTTTTTCACCACATGTAGACATATTTGGGGCCACCATTAGATACCTTCCATGTGGTTATATTTGAAATGACTGATACAGCGGAGACTTGCTAAACCACACTTTTATAATTCTTCCTTATCCGATCAAAGTGTCAGGTCACAATTTTAATTGTTCTATTTTTAATAGTAAAAACCTTTTCTTCTGATTCGGACAAGTTCAGATTAGACAGGTTCCACTGTATAATTACATAAAAATCATCCATGTCCCTTATCATTAATGTGTGAGTGGCAAGACATACAGCAGTACATATATATTTCATATATAAGTCAATAAAGAGTACATACTTGGGTGAGCGGGGAGACATACTGGTGGAATCTTTTCCCCACTGATCTTCTGGGTCATTAAAAACTTCATCTTCGTCTGTACTCTCTGAGTCATTCTAAAAATAGATCATCACATCTATTCATTACTTTTACAATCTACATGTATATGTTGAAGCCCTATAATTTCACCAGTTTTACAAATGACTTATTCTACAGTAAAAATAATAACAAGAAAAGCTTAATTTCTTGCCCATAAAATTTTGTGGTTTTCTCTAAACAAACATTTTCATTGGTTGTTAAAATTGTGGATTCTTTGCTTGCAAACAAGTAAAAGGCAAGTACTCTTATACACCTAATCATCCAGCAACAGAAATAAAATTGGGTTGGATCTTTAAAGGCACATTGTGCCTCAGAAACAAATATTTACTTCTTAACAAAGGGCAATCATGAATCTTATAATGTTTAAATGATGGTTTTACAGAATGTTAGATGTTTGTTACCTGAAGAAAGTAGTGATTAATGTGAAATAATTTGTCATTAAAGTAGCAAAATGTAAACAAAAGTAGTATTTTGACTTCCATACAAAATACTTATTCACTATAACTGTACTTATTGCCAAAAAGCAACAGATGAAAAACATAGTTCAGGTAAATTGCCAATTAGTAATTATTTGGATACTTTATGAAAAAACAGTGTCTGAAAAATAAAAATGAAAGCATCTCTGAGGCATAATGGGCCTTTAAATTGTGGATTGTCCAATGAAAATTAAGTGCCCAACAAATAATACTGTTTTTGCAGTTACAATCTGGAATTGTTTTTACACATACCTGATAAATGTCCCTCATTTGCATGAGCTTCTCCTCAAACTTGCTCAGTGACCAGTGTGTACATACATTTAATTTAGTATTGTTTACTTTAATAACTGTCTTCACCTCCTCACCATCTAGGAAGTCTTCTCTTGTGAACACCTAGAAATAATAGTGAACAATATTGTCAATTCATTTAATATAGTGCTTATCTAATGCCCTGTCCATACTTTGTCCTTAAGCATTAACATTTTTAAGACGTAGAGTTTATCTAAAATCAGGGCTTTTCTTCCTTCTTTAACAGGGACCAATATAAGGCCCCTTCACAATTCAAAATTTATTATCAAGCGTTCACAGCAAACTGTTTCCAGTTTTCAAAATGTTGTGGAATGCCAAAAAAATTGTGATTTTTTTTCACAATTTTATGACATATTGCGTTTTTTTCCTACAAAATGAAGGCCCAAGGCCCCTTCACAATTTTGACAAAAAATGCCAAGAAAATCATGGGAAAATGTTAATCACTAAGATGTCAAAATGCATCATGAATGTCGAAAAATAAAACAATACATAGTCCGAACAATTAAAACTTAAGAGAGGTTTACTATAAGAGACTTAACAGTTTTTACCATATAGTGCTTTTATGAACAATAAAGTTATATAAGATAATTTCATGAAAAAGTCTTTTATCTTACTGTGTTTTTCTTCAAATACTGGCTTATTTTGTTGGCCTCTCTTACTTGTAAAGCTATTTTATATAAATCTGTCTTTCCTGAAACACAAAATTGTGAAACGACTTCAATAAACAATAGTATTTGCATTGCGCAAATTGATTTGGAAAAGATGTAACCTTTTTTTTAGAAGTATGTGATGTTTGTTAGTATTAAAGGAAGGATTATTTCTATCTGCTTAACATCTTAGTAGTAATTCACATGTAAATATATGCGTTGGACCTTCAATAACAACAACTGAACCACAAAAGACACCAGTCAATATATGTAAATTAACATCTATGTTATTTTGTAAATTGTCTTAAAATCAATAAGCAGTCAAGATCACACATAAATACATACAGAGGTATGTTGTGTCAAAGTATAAAAGTATATACATTAAGTGTACATTGAAGATATAAAGCCAAGGTTAAAACTGTCCACAAACAAACAGGCAGACAGATAAGATAAGATATAATCTACAGATGACAGATGATTAGGAAGAGCTTTAAGAACACAAAAAATTATATGTGAAATGTATGCATGTAACTCTTGTAACTTTTTAAATAACAACTTTTCAGAACTTTGTCAACTTGTTATATTCATTTATGATCACTTAAATAACAGGCAGACATTGCTATGAAAAAAAACTTTTAATTACTATAATCTATCATAGAAATTAAGGGAAATTAATGTACCTGCCGACACTTCTACTATGTTAGGTGTTGGACTTTTAACTTGTTTCCCTCTCGTATATTCCTTCCATCTTTGTTTCAGTTCCTCAAGTTTCTGTGCTTCCTTCTCTTTCTGGGCTTGTAACATTTCTATAATCTTTGACCTCTCGGAAACAAGTTGATTCGATGCCTGAAAAATAATAATCTGTGCTTTTTTTCTTCTATAGCAAAGACCCTTTAAAAGGTGGCTTCCCCCAAAAAAATTTCGATAAAATCGTAGTTTTCCCCAAAGAATTGACATAAAGTATTTTCTTCCTCTCTTACAAAAATACGATATTAGAGTCTCATTTTCATTCATATATAATATATATTCCTTTTATTTTATCATATCAGGGTTTTATTTGTTTATTTTGTTGGATTTTAAGTCACACCAATACTGTAAAGATCACATGGCACCTTTCCAGCTTTACTGGTGTGGAAAATCATCAGATGATCCTTCATGCATAAAGCTGGAAGTATTGGGCATAAAAGTACACAACAGTAGAACCACTGACTTTCTATAAGCTGGTTGGATAGCTTCAACGCATAAAGGAATTCAAAAATTTGTGCCTGATCCAAACTTAAAGGGGCAAGTAAATTTGAAGTTGACGACCATAATCATTCGGTAACAAAGGGCCCTTATATTATATGAGCGAAGTAGTTACAAACCTTGGTGGCAGCTTCCGCTTCCAGCTGTTGTCTTTTTCTTCCTGCTATCACCTCTTGCTCTAACATCTAATTATAAACAATAAATATAAACAATCAAGTAAATGAATGAAACATGTTATTTTTACAAACTTTTAACATAAAATGTTTCTTGATGATGGTGAAGTAAAGTCATTACTATATAAAAAGAGTATGAATTATAAAAATATTAATTCAGATCCAGTATTAACTGACCTTAAATGTTCATGTCAAGAAAGTAATAAATTTTGAATATCTTCAAGTGACGTCACAAAAAGGACAAAAAACACTTATTTCTCTTATTCCATGTACAAACATGACATAATGAGGTGACAAACATGAATAAAACTACATTGAGGCTCAAATAGCAATTGATTAACAAAAGATAAGGTTATACTAACGAAAAACTATAATAGTAAATAATTTGACATTAAAATTGAGGTTTGTATACCTTCAAGTATCAAGTATGTGGGGAGTCGAATCTTTTCATGTTTGTTTCAGAAGAGCATAACATAAAACATGGGCTTTCGGCTTCATACAAATGAAAAAAAAAATTCAAAATTTTATAGACTTTTTACCATTTTTTGTTTCTTTAACTTATGAATGACATCTTCATGTTCCTTAACTTTCTCAGCATTCTCTTCACGCTGAAAGATTACATGAATGAAAATAAGTTCATAACAGAATAACATATATAAACCATTTACTTTAGAACTATACCTTCTTGACCCAGAGGTGATTAGCCTTACCCATCAGAACTTACACTGTTGGTAGCTTTGATTATGAAATCTTTAACACTTCAAATAGAGTGTGTCAATTTCAAAGCGGGTGAAAAATATGTAACTGTTAAAGCAGCTCTATAGTCATGCATAATACCTACAATATATGCCCTGGCCAGTAACCTGCCTTAATATTTGTGCAACCTGACCAGGTAACTACTGGCTACTTTTTTTTGTTGGGTATTAGGTCACACAGACCCTGTTTTGGTCATATAGTGTCTTTCTAGCATTACTGGTGGAGGTACACTTTAGGTGACCCTCCTTGGATTATTTCAGGCAATATGACCATCACTATCAATACTTCTAAATTTGTTGTGTCCTTAGAAAATCATTGTCACTATATTATAAATTAAAAAAACTTATTTTGTGCCAATAAAAGCCTCATTTGAGTGAAAAGCATTGTAACGTTGGAAAATCAAAGAGAGCAAATGATCTGAAATTTTGCACAAATCATTGAGCTGAACCTACAATAGGCTGGCTGAGTGTTTAACTCAGACTAGTAATCTAAGTATTGCTGACCGCGTGGGTTCAAACCCTGTCAAAGGAAAGCCTTCGTTTCCTTGAGATAAATAAATTTTAATATACTATAAACTAAACCTACATCAAATGGAACATTTATCTCGAAATATTATTTCCAGTCCCAGCATGTCAAGAACTTAAGTGAAGTCCCTTTAATCAGATAAGAAAATCACTGATCACCTTACCATTAGTTTTTCAAGGTCAGCAAGTTTTGATTCAGCATCTTTTTCAGCATCTTTCTTGGCTTTTTCCACTTCCTCTAACATTTCCTCCTGTGCTCTCTGTCGAGCTTCTTGTAATCTAAATTAATTTTCAGATTTGGGAAATAACAATATGCTGAACCGATTTTGTGAGATGATAAATTATGATACAGCCAAGTCATACTGCAATACTTATTTGTTAGCATGCCTGCATATGAGCGGAAAAAAAATTCAAGAAAATAAAACTTGAGGAGAATGTACTAATTTTTAAGGAAAGTAAAAATATAAAAGATTCAAGCAATAATTTACATGTAATGTGACATTAATGATAGATTCTGCAGTATTAAATCACCATATTTCTACTGTGTGACTAACATAATAAGAGCATTTTTTTTCGAATTCTGACTTCTTTTTAGTAACTAATATAAATTGAAAGTGTGATTTGCAATGTGAAATTAATTTCTTTGTTCACTTCACAATATTTTACTTTTAAATAAATTTTCAAAATTTTCTTGAAAATTAGAATTAATCTGTAGGCAATGCTATTTTTTAAGTTTCACAAGATGTACACCACTCTTTAATATTTCTCTCAAATATAGGAAAGTAAAGGTATTTATTCATTTATAATTAACATTTCATTTATCATTAATTATACCAAAGGGTAACGTGGTGCTTTAGGCGAGAAAAACGTGTAGCCTATGACGTAAAGCCCCAATTTACTTGTAAATATAGGCATATCATTTGTATGCAAGTCATGCTAACATATCATTACCAATAAAACCTTATAAACAGAAAATATCTTTTTCAATTACTTTATATCAATAAAAATATTCTAAAATTGTAAGTACATATATTCATATTTCAAAATAATTAATGAAAAATACCTTGTTAATAAAGTGAATGATATTGAATATATCTCACTGGTATATCCAATTTCTTACTTATTATCATATTTAAAGGAAATTATCAATACCTAGCCTCCTGTACTCTCATTAATTCCGCTTGGGCATAGTCAAAATCTTTAATTTCTACATTCTGAGATGATGTCTTGTTTTTCTTATATTGCTGTACCTCTATTGGATGATTAAACCTGAAGTAATGATCTCCCCCTAATATCACTCTATCACCCTGTAATATAAATAAAACATATGTTGATATGGTTCAATGAATACTGTGACAAAGGGAGGTCATACACCAACCGGGAAAATAACATATCTTCCGTCTTCTTTACATTAATTTAGTCGCTAATAGGCACTGATTTCTTGTTGTTTGAGTCCCTTTATACTTGTTTTATCTAAAATTTGGGTCAAGATCTTTATTGAAATAAAAAATTTTGGTTAATAATCTTTATTTTTTGGTTCCAATTCGGGTCAACATCTTTATCAAAATAAAAAATTTGGGTAAACAACTTTTTCAAAAATTTGGTTCAACTGGAAATCCAAGAATCCTAAAAATAAGTGTTGCATTGATATAATTGCTAGACATACTGATAAAGAAGGTATTGGACATGCAACTGTGAAAATACTAAATGCGCTAAAGGTACGTACATGATGAAGTGTGGCTGGTTCTGAAATAAGGTTTCCATTCACATATGTCGGAGCATCTCCTATTGGGGTTATTGTTACAGCAGTGTCTATATTGTTGATTATACTGAAAATATAGAAAAATAAAATGAAACCTTTATTTCAAAAATGTGCCATTACATAAAATCTAAAGAGTTAATACCTTAAGTATGTCAATATCTAACTATCCTTTATCATTTATATCTAAATATATCCCTTTACATCATTCTGATGGACTTTTGTTAAAATATATCCTCATATCCTCAATATCCCCCATCCCCACTTGCCCAACCCTCTCAATTAAATACACATCATCTAAATCTTGTACGAGCATGAACAATGAACTAGCAGTTTTATTTTATCAATTAATTCAGTTAAACATTATATAAATAACACATAGGCTGTAACAGTAAAATATTATCCCTAGAAAATTTTTACAAGGGATGATATTTTTGCTGTTACTTACAAAACTATGAATTATTTATTTTATTACCCCCAATGAATATTTCATTGGGACAGTATTTATATAGGTTCTTATTTTTCAGATTTTTACTGTGAAAAAGTTCTGTTACCTATTTAACAGTATAAAATTTTTAGTCACATGGTACACTTGATTAACAGCAAGAATAACTCCCATTGGCCTTTGGGAAATTAACATTACAAAAATAGAGAGGTGTAATTAAAGTATATATACCAGTGATTGTCTGCAATGAGAGCTCCATTAAGTTGTATGTCGTGTTTAGAATTCTGTCCCATCCTGCCCACCTTAGTTACACCCTCTTTTATGTTATACAGTAACATCTCAGAGAGTTGAGGGTCCTCATTCAAGTTAACGAGATTAGGTAGCTTATTGTCAACCTTCAATGTTACACCAGCTTTCTGTGGATAAAAATAGAAACACAACTCCAAAATTTATATCATATGATTGGTTTTATTAATAAGAAATCAAGATGTAATTTTGATACTTTAAATTGACTGAATTTCGTTATAGTTGATGCTAGGGTGTGTTTTAATAGTTTAAATTTTACCAATGTCCATGATCAATTAAACACAGCCTGCAAGATTTCCAAATTTGCAACTTTTAAGCTTAGTAAATACTGTTGGTACAGAAAGTAATTATAAGCCTTTGCCACTAGTATAGAGCCAGGCCAGTCATGCACAATTTTTATATTTTGATCTCTTAAATGTGAAACTAGAAGTCAACTCCAGCATAAAATCAAAAATGTACTATTTTTTTATTAAAAACACAACATTTCAACTTAAAAGTCTGCATCAGGCATGTGGCACCACAATTTTCCTTTTTTTTTTTTTGGATTCAATACATGTACTAATTTCATATCAATATGTAGTAAGTTGTAATATGCTGGTTTTCCATTTCCACATTGCTTTTTTTTTTTTTTATATTTGATATTAAAATCCCATGAACTTTGATTCAACAGTTCCAAATTCCAAAGTAGGGCAGTTCCACTAAACAAGCACATTAAAGGTTATAGTATAAACGCCAACTATTATACAAAAGTATATTATTATATAATTATAATTATATTATTATTATAACTAACCTCTAATTGTTTAGCCTCTTCAAGTTTTCTCTCCTCGGATAATCTAAGACGTTCTTGCCATGATTTTGTAATTTCCTCCATTTCAGTTTCTTTCTGTCTTAACTTATCTTTCAGTGTTACTATCTCTAACATGCAAGCACTGGTCACATCTTCATTTCCAGACAAACCTGATGCTCGTAACCTCTCTATCTCAGCTCGCAACTCTGAAAATCATAAACATAAAATGTATGTACACATTATATTGTTTCCCAGTAAAGCTGCACGCCTCCAGATAAGCCAAAATATTTCAAGAAAATCAATATTGAGAAAAATGTACAAAAATTTTTTTTAAGAAAGGTTAAAATATTTAAGATCCAAGTGATATTTTATGTGTTATATGCGGTTTAAGACTGCTTTAACAGTATTTTATCACCATATTTCTACTGCGTTACTAACCTAGTAAGGGTTGTTTTTGCATATATTGACTACTTTTTGATATTTTTCTTGGATTGTAAGTGCTGATTGCAATATGTAAATTGCTTTATTTGTTCATCACACTATATTTTACTTTTTAAATACATTTCCAAAATTTTCATCAAAATTTACATGAATCTGGAGGTGTGCTGCTTTAATACCTCTTTGTTATATTTTCCATTACATCCCTGACAGACATTATTATATCTAAATGAAAATAAGAGTACTGGTTTCAATCTTTCTAAGTTGCAATGAACTAGTGATGAACATTTAGACAAATTAATTACATCTTCTATTGTATGTGTACTTTTAAAATTGATAAATAAAAGCACTCACCTCTGATAAGTTTGGCTTTCGGGTCCTCATTTACACGTGCAATGTTGACAATAGACCGTGCAGTCTGGGCGTATCTCAGGGTACTTAAAGTCTCGTCTGTATGATGATTGGCTGGAGAGATGGTAGCAATCATCGCCGTCTTAGAATTTCCACCTAAACTTTCTTTCAATAACCTGACAAATACATGAAGCATTTCTCATATAAATTGCAATCTGAATAATTATTAACCCTTGCCCTTAACCTGCTGAATTTGTGAAAAATTTGGTCTATACTGCTGGCAAAAGCTTCTTAAATTAGGTTCCAGTAGGGTGCATGCAAGGCCATCATTAAACAAGTGTTTGTTTCCCTTTGCCCTCCCTACTCATCGAAAAAGCCCCCTACCCAAAATATCTTTATCCCTTTCCTAATATAACTATATTTACACTTTCAAAGGCCTATTATAAAATTACACATGCATTTTTTAATGATGGCACCTAGTTAAGGGTAAATTTTTTTTTTTATGAACCTGTCCTGATTTAAATTGAGATCTATCTATTATTGGTTAAATGTACATACAAATATGACTGTAGTAAAGCTTAGCTACCAACAGTATAGGGTCGGGTCAGACTGAACAAAAGTGCATACTGGGCTGGCATTTTGGAAATTAACCTTCTTAAAATTTAATTGTAAAACAGCATATACACAAATATCATTATCTCAAAATAAAGAGAACATTTAAAGCACATACATGAAGGCATGTCAGGAGAACTCAAAATCTAACTGGATAGTTTCTAATATAGAAAGAATACAAAGATCATTGCAGGACAAGGCCCTAAGTAATCAAACACTAAAGGCAATATTTTTGAAGCCAGCAACCTCAAATACTGTCACTTAGTGGTCTGTTAAGTTTGATTTCTAAGATTTAACCATGTAAGATTTTAAGATACCATGTAAGATTTTAATATTTTAACATACCAAGTAAGTACAGAGTCACGATATGGTATAAATATCTTCTTCCTCTTGTTTGTCTGACTGGATTGTTCTGCTAGCTGAGAGATAACTTTTCCCAATGTAAGTAGGGATTTATTTATATTAGCACCTTCCTGCAATGTTAAAACACAATTATTTATATAGTTGTAAATCAGCATAAGCTTATATGATCTTTTGTTTTGGTTTAAATTAACACCTACACTGCTAAAATGACTGCATTGAGCTTTTTAAAATAATGACACTGGAAACATATTTTAGAGATTTGTATACAAACCATTAACTTGCAGGCAAAATTTCAGACATTTGCTCATTCAGTCTTCCTAGAACAATCATTTTAATTATGAAAAACTATCTAAAAATGAGAAGCATTTAAAGACTTTCAACTAAAATAGGCGAAGAATTGCACTAAAATTCTATTTTTCAATTTCATTATGTGTATATTTCATTATCTTTTCCAAATATTTTCGTTTTTAGTGTCCCAGTTGAACTATTTTTAAGTTCCAAGGTTAAACTTTGTAAGAATTTTATATTTACATATTTAGGCTATTGGACCTTAGGAAAGCTCTTTTATTGTCATAGTCAGCATACAAGCATATTTCTTCCAGCAATATTGGCATTGGGATATCTATCTCACAAAGCTTAAAATGCTTTTTATATGGAAGGTAATTACAAATGTAGTTACTTCTTTTTCAACCATTAGCCTATAGTAGTACATACAGAAATACATACCCTGAGTCTCTCGCCGGAGGTTTGAGCATGTGACTGTCTCTCACTACCAGCCAGATCAACCAAGTTTATCTTACTGGTGATAGAATGATCATGCTCCTGACCTTCTAAAATATCTGTCTGTAATATAAAATAAATATTCTTACTCTCAAGAAATTTATGAAGAGAAATTTAAACAGTTTTAATGTACCTATTTTAGTTTTTTTTGTACAAAGATTATTTTCTATTTTATTAGGTTTTACATAGTACCAATATGGTTAAAGTCAACTTTTGGCAACTTTTCGCTTTACTGGTAGAGGAATACATTTTGTATTTCAGACATGAACGGGCACTAGAGTAGAAACACTGACGTTCAAAAAGCTAACTGAAGGTTCTATTACCTAACAGGATAGCTTCCCAAATGTAAAAGAATCCAAAGTTTATGGCAAGATTAAAACCAACACATTAGGGGTAAGTGGTGAGATATTATATACAGTTTGATGCTTAAAGGATGTTAACAAATAATTGCCTGTTTCTGTAAGGTACAGCCTTATAATTCTGTCATTTAATCAAGAAGGACCTTAAACAGAATAGAACAAATTTAACATTTATTTTCTGTTCGGGTCCAATCTTATGGAGCTTTTTTCGAACAGAATTTTCGTTTTTACCTGAGGTAACAAATCATTTGAAATGTGTCAACAAAAACAACAGATCTGGCTAAGGGTCAAGGGGGATATTTTAATCTACAGGCTGAAAATGCAACTGATTTTAACATATCGGTGATATGGATTGCCAATTTGTTAATGATGAAAACCCTGTCTAAGGTATGCTAGCTAACCTTTGTTTGAGTAAGGACTATGGTGAACACAGAATGAGATCTACTACTTTTATCATTCATTCCAGTGGCCGCTGTGGCTCTGTTCTTGTTACCGAGGGTGATCCATCCTTTAACATCATCGAAGGAGTTGACAACAAATGTAGACAGACCCTCAACATATGGTCCCAATGTAGGATGCTCTCTCACCCTTAACTGTAAATAAACAAAACATTTCCATACCATTCTTTTTAATCAAATACAAATGAATTTCTACAGTTAATTAATGAATGATACATTTAAAAAGAATCAACCATTGTCAACAGGTACTATAATTAACAAATATTCAAAACTTATTTATGTTTAAGTGCTGCCAGTTAATTAATTAGCTAAATTCAAGTATATATTAACAAAGCATTAAATAATGATTTATAGCAATTCAATAAACATGAAATTCTGATTTTACTCACTCTTTACTTTTTTCATTAAGTACAGGCACCTTTGTAGGAAAACAACTGCATCAGAAATACAAGGCCAGAATAATCTACTACTACATTTTATCATAAAGTTCACAATTTATTTTTGACAGAAGTCTGCTATTATCAGTATTTTGAAATCTATTATTTTTCTAGACAGCATGATCATTTATAAAAGTCACTAGTATGCCATAGGGGAGTATTGGCTTTATGTGTAAGGTGCATGTCTCTTGAGCCTGAGATTGTGGGTTTGAGCCTTACTGGAGTCAGAAAGCACAAGTTTGAGAATAATTTAATAATTATAGTTATTTATGTTTGTTTTGTTTTGTTTGTTTGGTTTTACACTTTTACATCACACCAACATAGTAGTAAAGGTCATAAGGAAACTTTTCAGCTGTACCAGTGGAGGAAGACCTCAGGTGCCCTTCCAGGTTTTGAACCCACAGCATTGAGGCTTGAATTCAACAACGTTCACCATTCAGCCATAGATGTCCCACAATAGCATGTTAATGCACATATTTTTTGCATTTACATCTGCAGAAGCACAAGGATGCATTTGAAAGGTCAAGCCTGCAGAGCAAAGATTTTACAAGTCCAACTGTTAAAAAGTTATGACAGTTTATTTTAATCAAATATTGAAGAACATATTGCAGTTACTGGTCATGGGAGTAGAGTACAAAGGTACTTTTTGACTGAAGCTTATCACAATATATAATACCAGAATACCGATGAACTGTTGCAACACACAAGTCAAGAATGAAAATATAACTTACTGTAGCTTTCTTGACTTTTTTCTCTTTGTTTGATGAAGCCAGAAGATCATGAATTTTCTCATTGTATATTTCAAAGAAGCTGATTTCTACATGTAACTTCACCTGAAACAATATTTATAAATAAATATACATAACACTGTGTATAAGATATCTCTTCTCTGGAGATGTTCAAGTGCAAGTTTATAAGTGAAATCATCTTGTTCTATTATATCTGGTAAAAAAAATAATAGTGTAATAGTAATGGTTTTTGTTTGTTTGCTTTTAACATAACTCACATTGCTTTCCATATAACAAACTTTCCTGGACTAGTAATTATCAATATATCCTAAAGTGACAAACTACTTAACCTACATGATTTTTGAATCTGAGGTGAAAAGAAAATGGCCATTAAACTTAATGTACCATGTCAATAGTCATGGATAAATTTCATATTAAACCAGTGATCCCTGGATTTTTAAATTGATACTTTCCCTTATGAAGCTAATTTGGCTGACTAATAGTAATGCAAATCTTGGTAGATGGTAAAAGAATGGACATTAATTAAAATTTGTTGTCATTATTTTTCCTCCTTTCTACATTGTCAAGAATATAGTTTTTTCTATAAGAACCTTATTTTAAATCAAGCTGTAATAGCATAATTTTCATCAAACTAATCTATTATTACAAAATGTTATAAGTTTACAGCTCTAACAATAGGCAATAATACAAATATCAACCAACTACAAAATTCAACCAATCAGAAAAGCTGTTACATTTTGTCGACAATTTTCATTGGCTGTTTGACAAAGTATTGTATAGACATTGTAGCAAATTATGGAATTTAAAAATTCCATAGTGGAGATTACATGTAGTAAATCAATGGTAAAATCAATGAGGTTATGAAATGGTTCAATTAAATATTGACATGTTAATCATAGGTGTATCATACTAAAATAATGCTGACTGAACAATTTACAGAGATGAATGCCATCCACTATTTATACCAGTATTACGATAAAGCTTCTACAGTTACAAGATCTAATAATGAATAAATTGGCGTATAAAGTCTATACATGCAGCCAGGTCAAATTTAATTAAATTTCAACATTGATGTAAGACAAGAAATATAATCTTGTTCTGTGCGCAGAATTTCATATTTTCTCTATAAATAAAAAGCAAAGGAGGGACAATAACTATATTGAATAAAAAAATTATAAAGAAAAAAAAGAAAAAAAGATCTTGAGTTTTGAAAAGATCTGAGTTTATATATTATTATTATCAGAATAACTACTTTAACTTAGTAGAATCTGTCCGTCTATACACATCATTAACAAGCTGGACCTTTTGCACAGTCTTGTTATTAGTACAATGTACATGTTACATATATACCAATATTGCCGTCACATTTGGCCACATTTATACAATCTACTATAATTAAACTCTTTATCTAACATTAATATTGATGGAATTTGATGGAATTTTCATATTTTTGGACTATTGTATTGAATATTCAATCAATTACATTTCATTCCAACCTGTCAACTTTTACCACAGCTCTTACTTTCATTGTTATAATCCATTTGGTAAAATCAATAATTTCGTATTTTTCAACTAAGACTTTCGCAAATTTTTTTTTCTGTCAGGTTAATTCAATATTCTGTTTATTATAACCAACAAAAGACATGCTCTGGACAATAGAAGCATATACATTAACCCTTCGGTCAATACGATTTTTTCAATTTGGAGCTGTGAAAAAGCACTTAATATTTGTGTAGTAAATTCGAAATTAAACAAATATTGGTAGATATTTAATGCACTCGAAACATCAAAAGTGGCCCTGGAGTGGCATTATTATGGAGTTTTATCTATTCTATCATGTAATGACAGCTACGATTTGACATTAAGTACGTATAAAGGGGTAGAATTAGACCATCTGTTATGTAACAAGTAGATTTGATGTCATAAATATCTCACAACAACAAGAATAAACTTAAATCAGAAATGGAATGTCACATATAATGTTCAATTGTACATGTATAATTATATACACAATGCTGTACGGAGTTTGAAGTTCAAACGAAAGAACATTAATTAGTCTCTTACTTACATGTTTACCTTTAGTACCACTCTAGGACCAAAAACTTAACAAAATTTGACTGGAAGCAGTCATGGATCAATTTACAAATTTAGCAAAATGAAATAAATATTTTCTAGACTACTTCTTTCATCTTACTTTTCATATGATTTCATATGTATCACTAACCTGGAGGGAGTACCAAATCATCCCCCCCCCATGTTACAATAATGAAACAGGCAAGATTTGCAATCATTAACCAAAAAAGAATGTGCCAATACAGAAATGCTTTTTAGAGGGGAAATTCATGACTAATGATGAAAAATTTGATGACTTACAACATGATGATTTATACAGGGCTTTAAACTAATTTAACTAACAAACATTAGGCACAGTAAATATTGAAAATAAACATTTAGACTACAATTTCAATTTAATTGCACAAGTAAACTAACTTTGTTTAACATTATAATTGACACTACATATTCAAAACATTTTGGCTTTGAAGTTAAAAAGTTACATGGTAAGTTTATCAATATATCAAAGCATAACGGTTAACCTATGATTGGTGCATTGTATATTATATATATATACTCTTACCTTTGAAATAAACTGATCATGAAAATAAATTGTTTGTTTGACAATGTTAAAGCTGCACGCCTCCAGATGAGCGAAAATATTTCAATAAAACCAAACCTGAGAAAAATGTACTAAGATTTTAGGAAAAGTGTAAAGATTCAAAGTTCTAGTAATAATTTACATGTTATGTGCGATTAATGACCAATTTTTCAGTTTTTATAACTATATTTCTACTGCGTTACTAACGCAGTAAGGGCTATTTTTGCATATTTTGTCCTCTTTTTAGTAAATAACATGGGTTGTAAGTGCCATAGATATTGTGTAAATTGCTTCCTTTTGGTTATTTCACTGAAATAAAACTTTGAAACATATTTTCAAAATTTTCATGAAAATAAGCATGAATCTGGAGGCGTGCCGCTTTAAGCTGGTTGGTTTTTACGCTGATTTTAACATATTTTTCAAAATTTGGTCACTGCATTCAATCCGCCTAAAAAAATTTCCCTGGATAGTTAACCAGTAATTATACATTGTATTTCTACGCAAGTGACCAACTACATAACCAACATGATTTCTGGATCAGCCTTGCGAGGCAAATGACCATTGGCTTGGTGTCTTGGATCAATTATTATAGCTGGGATCAATTTCAAAGTGACAAACCAGAGACCCCTGTAATATTACAATATTCTGTTTAATTATTTCAATAAAACAAAGGGAGAGTGATTCAAGGAAAAATAAACAATAATCTTGATTTCAGACTAAGAGAGGCTAAAAACAATTTTATGCATAACTGTAAGTAACATCAAATTATTTTAAATGCAACTTTAAAATTGAATTTAAAAAATAGGTTTTAAAGTCAAAATATAAGACACTAAGCAAGCATCCTAAGAGTAAACTGTAAACAGATCATTGATGAACTTATAGAACATTATATTTTACATAACACTCAGCAATTTCAAAATATGCTTTCAAAAATAAAGCTCAATTATTGTAATTTATCATTTGAGCCGCGTCATGACAAAACCAACATAATGGGTTTGCGACCAGCAAGGATCCAGACCAGCCTGCGCATCCACACAGTCTGATTAGGATCCATGCTGTTCGCTTGCATACCCTATAACAAGTACAGAAACTGATAGCGAACAGCATGGATCCTGATCAGACTGCGCATCCGCGCAGGACGGTCTGGATTCATGCTGGTCACAAACCCATTATGTTGGTTTTGTCGTGACGCGACTCAATTTTATATAAACCACTGACAAACAAAATATTCCTCATTTGCGGTCCATTAATAACAAGTCGGATTTTTTTATTTTACTTTAAAAATTTTCAACAGAATAATTGACTTAAATTCTTAAAACTATTTAAACATAGAATCTTAATGAACCATATTTATCTTATCAAATATTGGCCCGGATTATATAGCCTTGAATGGACGAGTACAGTCAATTTTTTACAGTTTACAGGGAATCAATTTTAACACCCACTAATCCAACATAATCCTCCTTACATGTTGTATCCCTTAGATAAGTCTTACAATATCTGTTTAAACAAATGAAGTATATATAAGCCTAACTGACTGGAGTTGTTTCTTTACTGCATTTTTGAAACATTTTATGAATCACAGTACATTGACATTTATATGTCTAGTTTTAGTGGAAAAACACAATATGTTTGTCTTTTATTTCAAGCCAGTTTTTGATGTAACAGTATTTTCACCTTTTTAGTTTAAGAGGCCAGAATGCCCCATAAATGTTGTCATTTTTATTTCACAAAATCTCTTTATTTTTTGATATTCTTTTATAGTTTTCAATAAGTTTTAAACAAGTTACTCATTTGCCAAGTACCTGAACTGTCTTCTTCTGTTTTTTTTTTGGCAATTAGCACATTTATAGTGATTTAGAAGTGGTTTTAGAGTTAACCCTGGACATCGGACTTAAAGAATTGTAGAGCCCTAATTTCAAAACAATACAGAAATAATAACAAGAGCTGTCCGTAAGACAGCGCGCTCGACTTTTTTATTGCTTGCCAATAAAAAAAGTTTTTGCAGTAAAAGGCAATACAAGAATCTCTGTATTTTTAAAGTGAACAATGGCCATGAGCATTAAGATATTTAGTGAAGAATTATTTTACTGAATTGTGTGATACCCTTGAACACTGCAGCAAAGTTTGAAATGTTTAAGTCAAAAGAGGGCTGGTAAGAAAGAAAAAAAAAACTAGTTGTTTGATACCCTTGAATATTACAGCAATGTTTATATGACATAATTTATGGTAAAGTGAACAAGTGGATAGGAATGAATTTTTTTAGATTTTTTAAGTTTTTTAGTGCTTGCCTATAATACAAAACATTGACAGTTAAGGGCCATAATTCAAATAAAATCTTTGACAGAATTACCTCTCCTGGACATGTTTGGGAATCATGATTGTAAACAAGTATTCCAACTTTCAAATTAATATCTCAAACAGTTCAGTCAAAAAGTGGACTGGTACTAAAAACTTAACCAAGATTCTAAGTCGATAAAAAGGCCTTAATTTTTAAAAAACAAATCCTTGACAGAGTTACCTTCTCTTGCGTACAGATGGGGGTAATGATGTGAAATAGCATTAAAAGTTTCAAAGCAATATCTCAAAGGGTTAAGGCAATAAGTGGATTTTACCCATATTCAATGTATTTTCTAAGTCAAAAAGGGGCATAATTCTGTCAAAAACCTTGACAGAGTTATGTCCTCTTGTCTGTTGATGAAGGTCGTGATGGTAAACAAGTATGGTCAGTTTCAAAGCAATACCTCCAATGGTTTTGAAATAAAGTGAGGTGGTACAAAAAACTTAACCAAGCTCAATACACTTTCTAAGTCAAAAAAGGGCCATAATTCTGTCAAAAACCTTGACAGAGTTATGTACTCTTGTCTGTAGATGGAGGTTATGATGGTGAACAAGTATGGTAAGTTTCAAAGCCATACTTGTAATACTTCTGAAATAAAGTGGGGTGGTACGAAAAACTTAACCAAGGTGTGACGCCAACGCCGACGCCGGGGCGAGTAGGATAGCTCCCCTTTTCATAGAAAAGTCGAGCTAAAAACTGAGTGGCGGATCATAATTGTTTGGGTTATTATTACAAGGCAACTTACACTTGCTGTAATGGTTAGAACAAGTCACACAGTCCATTCATGTTTTGTTAATAAGCGAAACAATGTTAATTACTCAACAAATAATACAAAAACCATGCCCTATTGTAATTGAAATTTGTTTTACGACAAGGTAAAACAAGAGCTGTCGGTAGGACAGCATGCTCGACTATTCTAAGTGCTTGATAGTAAAAGAGCCTTAATAATGTTAAATTTTTTAAATTCACAAAAGGGCTAATTTTTTTTTATAAATTCATGTTATAGGCCTTAGAGAGAGTCTAATTATACAGTATTGGCTTGACTATTCGGAAGGTAATGTCACAAGGGTGTTTTATTGAGTATAATAATACTAATTACCTATGAATACATAAATTTGACAGAAAAGGTACAAAGGCTTGTTATTAAGATGTTTTATCAAGTAAATCACTGCTTTATTATTATGAATGCGTAAAATTGTCCCAAAAAAGGCAAAAACCCTTCAGTAGTTATTGAGATAACAGCTTACAAACAAAACTTTACCATGAATTTCTAAGTTGAAAAAGGGGAGAAAAATCAGCCTAAATGCAAGCTTTGTCAGTGACCTACAATTATGACCCTAAATGTGAAGTTTTAAATAAATATCTTTAATAGCTATAGAGATATGTAAAATTGTTACTATAAAAAAAGTATTCTAAATTTCAAGTGAATATCTCAAGCAATAATTGAGATATTTGACTTTACAAAAAAACTTTAACCAAAATTTCTAAGTTCCAAAGGGGCATAATTCTGTCATTATTGTAGGCAGAGTTATTCAACTTGTCAATCTGATGTACTTTGTTACTACAAATAAGTATTGTAAGTTTCATTTGAATATCTCGAGCAATAATTGAGATAATTGACTTTACAAAAAACTTTAACCTAAATTTCTAAGTTAAAAAGGGGCATAATTCTGTCAATATTGTAGGCAGAGTTATCCAACTTGTCAATCTGATGTACCTTGTTACTATAAATAAGTATTGTAAGTTTCAATTGAATATCTCAAGCAATAATTGAGATATTTGACTTTACAAAAAACTTTAACCAAAATTTCTAAGTTAAAAAGGGGCATAATTCTGTCAATATTGTAGGCAGAGTTATCCAACTTGTCAATCTGATGTACCTTGTTACTATAAATAAGTATTGTAAGTTTCAATTGAATATCTCAAGCAATAATTGAGATATTTGACTTTACAAAAAACTTTAACCAAAATTTCTAAGTTCCAAAGGGGCATAATTCTGTCAATATTATAGGCAGAGTTATCCAACTTGTCAATCTGATGTACCTTGTTACTATAAATAAGTATTGTAAGTTTCAATTGAATATCTCAAGTAATAATTGAGATATTTGAATTTACAAAAAACTTTAACCAACGCAGACGCCGACGCGGACGCCGACGCCGGGGCGACTACAATAGCTCTCATATTCTTCGAATAGTCGAGCTAAAAATAACCGTTTATTTTACTGTTCACAATACCTTGAAATGCTTTACTGGGTTATTTTATTGTTAAATCTGTTTCATTGTAACCAGTTGAATGATTCATGAAATTTGCCGAACTTGATACTGCTGACTTTAGTTTTCAAATCCTGGGTTTCTTTTCAGTTTATATTTATATGTTTATATTCTAACCCCAAAATTGTTGGTATGAATACTCTTGATAAAAAAGAAGTCCATATTCCGAGGATGACGCCTGAAACCTTTAATTAAAGGAAATTGAAGCTGGGTATAAAAAAAAATCTGGGAAAACTGCATCATATGCAGAGAGTGATTTCCCTTGACCGCCAATTTTTGAACAAATTTTTCAAAAACATGAAATATTTTGATGAGACTTATACTCTGTTAATGCAAGTGTTTGTGAGTGGATGGGGTAGGGGTGTACCTGCATGTAGATCTTGGAACGCAACTGTTTTGACATTTACTTCCCTTAAATTTGCATTCCTTATTCTAAATAATAATGGAAAAACTTCATGCATACATTTTTCAATTGACTGGTCCGACAGTTATGGCATACAAGACAACACTTACTTTATCAAGACCACGTGCCACATCTGCACGTGAAAACAGTTCCTCACAAAATCTTGGTATAATACCAGTATCTTCCCCATGTCCCATTATACTGGAAAAAAATTCAAAATCAATTTAGTTTTAATAAATAAATTTTTTAATTGAAGAGACTGAACATTTTTTCACGTTTATTTCTGAGGTTATTTAAAGGCGATATGGGATATCAAGTGAAAGTGATACTTTGAACTTGAAGTTGGTGATGTTTTAATGGTTAATGGAAAAAGTTAAGTCTTTTCATTTTCAGGTAAAATATGGTCCCCTAGTTTTATTTCTCAAATTATTTCCACAATGGGGCTACTTTGTTTTCTCAGTTATAACCATTTGATACTTCATTAAGATAAGGTCTTCTTCAATATCACCCAGGGTTATTGAAATGTTACCCTTTGAAGTATTATTTACATATATTATCTATTGAAAATATCAATTTTAATAAGGTATAAAAGATCCACTTTTTGTCACAGCTAAATTACTCTTTTCTGCAGTTTGCAAAAAGTAAACAAATTTCAATTCTAATGTTAAAACTTCTTTTGAAAATATGACAATACTGTGTATATATAATAAACGGTTAATAACCATAAATAATGCAGGGTAATAGAAAAACTTCTAGAGATCAACTTTCATAGTTTTGTAAGAACACAAAATAGAATTTGTAAGCATTTCTTTTCATATATACATATATCTATCTACAGCATTTCAATCAAGAGCATTTGGAACATTGTGTTTGATTGAAAGCATCATATTGAACCTTTTATCAACATAAACCATGGTATTGCATTGAACATAAAGCTTTGTTGATGAACAATGACCAAGGGCCACTTTTAATTGAACTATCAATGTGAAACATGATCCGGTTTAAAATTTACATACTGACTGATAAATAGTATTGGGCTGTCAGAGATAGACAAAATTAGAAAAATCTGCATTCAAAATTATATGAATACTAACTGTTTACAGGCAATACAGCATGCAAGATTGAAAATTAAGACATTCAACTGGCAATATGATTTCTTTTTTACTTGAATGGGTACTTTTTATCACTGTAAAAGAAACTTTAAGTTTAACAAGAGCTGTCGGTAGGACAGCAACGCTCGACTATTCTCAGTGCTTGATAGTAAAAAAAATGCTTGATACATTTACCTCCTCCTGTTTACAGGTTGGGGTCATGATGGTGAACAAGTTTGCAAAGTTTCAAAGCCATATGTCAATGGACTTTGAAAATATTTGAACTATTACAAAAACTTTAACGTAAATTCTTAAGTCGAAAAAGGGGCATAATTCTGTCAAAATGCTTGATAGAGTTACCTCCTCCTGTCTACAGGTTGGGGTCATGATGGTGAACAAGTGTGCAAAGTTTCAAAGCCATATGTCTATGGACTTTGAAAATATTTGAACTATTACAAAAACTTTAACTTAAATTCTAAGTCGAAAAAGGGGCATAATTCTGTCAAAATGCTTGATAGAGTTACCTCCTCCTGTCTACAGGTTGGGGTCATGATGGTGAACAAGTGTGCAAAGTTTCAAAGCCATATGTCTATGGACTTTGAAAATATTTGAACTATTACAAAAACTTTAACGTAAATTCTAAGTCAAAAAAGGGGCATAATTCTGTCAAAATGCTTGATAGAGTTACCTCCTCCTGTCTACAGGTTGGGGTCATGATGGTGAACAAGTGTGCAAAGTTTCAAAGCCATATGTCAATGGACTTTGAAAATATTTGAACTATTACAAAAACTTTAACATAAGTGGTTACGCCGACGCCGACGCGGACGCCGACGCTCGGGTGACTGCAATAGCTCTACTTATTCTTATCGAATAGTCAAGCTAAAAATCAGATACTGAATTACTTTATTGATTGAAATGAAAATCAGGAAAACTAATAGTTGGAATAAATCTGTGTAGTTAAATTTCAGATCATGAAGAACTACCATTTTCTTCTAAGAGCAAATACCTTTGTTTGAAGATCTAAATATTAAAATTTAACTTATATGAATTTCATTCCTTTAAATTAGGGATAAAGACATTAATTCTGATGTGAATGGGTCTTTTCACTTGAACCTATTTACTTAAATGCAAAATACATACCAATAGCTTTTACCAGATCCCGTCTGACCATATGCAAACAGGCATGTATTATAACCTTCAAATGCTTTTCCGAGAAGTGGCTGAGCGAGGGATCGATATACCTTCTCCTGGCAAACATAGTATGGGTCGTTGACATCAAACGATGAAAATGAGAAATCATACGCAAATCTGTGCTCGAAACCACTGTCCGCCTTTACTTTGGTCTCATTACCGCAGATGGTAACAACATTCCGAACATTGGGATCTGATATTTCCCTGAAAGTGAAAAAACATCTTTATTTTTGAAAAACATACATTTTTAACATCAATATTTTATCACTGTTAACAAAATGTTTTCTAAAACATACATATAAAAGGAAACAAACTTCACAAATTTGTCTAGGGCCTTTGTTAATCATAATGGGCAAACAAGTGTACAGCAGTAAATTATGCCTAAGAATAAAACTTTATGTCGACAAATATGCAGTAGCATTTGCAAAATTGAAAATACCTTACTTATAAATAAATGTTCAAAAAAATTGTGAAATTGATTTGGCTTAAGCCTTAACGTTGATGTTGAAAAGCCCTTAAGTATCAAGGGTGCAAGTTCAAAATTTATGAAAACCTGAAACCCTGAATTAAGCATTATTTTTATTGGTTTACATGTATATAGTAAAAGAATGCTTTCAGCAGTATAAAAAGTCTGAACTCCAGACAAATACCTGAAAACTTGAACCCATGCCTTATTCATTGAATATTATTATTAGACAGTTCCAAATTCAAAGCTTTGCAAAACCATAGCATTATACAAATTCTGCAGGTCAAGGGTCAAACTGAAAAGAACAGGTCATGAAATTTCTATTTAATTAAAAAACCCAAGTAAAAAATCACCTTAAGAGGGAGTTTGAAACGGATTAATTTAGCAGGAAACGCAGATGTCACATAAAATGTTCGTAAATTACGTATGGAGTATTTGTTGGAAGTTAAAAGGTGCACACAAAAACAACACAGACGTATGTTGATAAAGAGTTATATAATTCACCTTGTCACAGGTACTAAAATAACACTTATATCTATGCTATGATATACACTTGTATATATATAACATGTATGTAGCAATAAGGTCTGTCACCTTTATGTGTTTATGGCAGCACTCTTTGCCACAAAGATATTGTTCCCTTCAATGGTAACATTTGTGACTATCGCCTGCCCCGGGGGCCCCCTCTAACTTACTTAAAAAATTGTTACAAAAATTTATAACTTTTCAATGTATCCAGGATAACAGTTGGTGAAACATGTGTTGCAACTTATTAAAAAGGTGATATATATAACCATGGCCAATGGTGTTTTTTGTCACCATGCCCCAGTCACCATCCTTAAATATGAATTGATGTAATTATGAATTCTTAAAGGTTTCCAATGTGTTGTACAGGTAGCATATTGAGAATAATTCTTATATAATCACCATGCCAGAGTTTGCTTTTTGTGTGTAAAAATTGCAAAATTTTGTTAATTTAATTCTAACTTACATAATAAATTATTACCTACATGCTACAGTCTAACAGACTTACAGTCAAACTTACTTTATTATTGTACATGTCAATATACAATAAAATTTAAAATGAATCCTTTTCATTCCAAATAGTACTAATACTGTATAGTAATCATATTAGTATATACTTGTTATTTGTTTAACAAAAAATAATTTCAATAACCAGGGATACTTTTGGCTTATTTTATAGCCAATATTCAGTCATATTCCCAATTGAAAAGAGTATATCATTTTCCCAATCCAGAGGAAAACATTCCCAATTGAAAGTTACAAAATAAAAAAAAAAGAACAATAAATTCAAATTATTCTAAAATCTTTGAAAATAAGGGCTTCTTCACATTTTATGGTGTTTAAATGTTTGTAGATCTATGCCATCCTAGACAGTTAATCTTTGCATTCATTTAATCACTACAAAATTTAAGTCCAATATTTTTCTCAATTTTTAACAAAACATCGCTGAAATTCCCAATTCCATGGGTATGGGTCATGTTCCCAAAATCCTGAAAAAAAACCCCTGATTTAACTGACTTTGATAATTATTTATCATAATGTCATACTTCAAGTGAATGTCCTACTTTGCAAAACTGACTGCAGTCTTAGCACAGTTAGTTATCTTAAATTCTTATAAATGATTATTGATACCAAAAGTTAACATTAAATTGACAACAATTGTTCATTCACGAAATCAAAAAACTAGCTAAACGCCGTTTTCCGGTACTTTCTGTACATAGCTCTGGGGAATTCACATAATGGAGTGTAATAGCGAACTCGATGTTTTCGGCCCTTTTTTTAAATTAAATTGAAATAAAACAGTTATTTCTTTATAAGAAAGTATTAAATATCATTGTATGAATAATCCCATACAAAAAATAAAGTAAATGCACAAGTTAACGTAGAAAATTACCTTATTTAAAATATTATGGAAGATTCCACTACGTCTGTTTAAATTTTATTGATTTTCATTATAAATATTTATTTTTTTGAAAATTTGCAATAGATATTAAAGGAATATAATAATTTGACAATATTGATAATTTTCAAAAACAACAATTTATTTCACCTTAAACGGTAAAATAATGATAGAAAAATAGAAATATCATGTAACTGTGTTATGTACTTCATTTGGTGTAATTCCCCAGAGCTAAATCCGTAATGTACCGGAACACGGTGTTTAGCTACGTTTTCGAAATGGTCAATACTTGCAATGTAAGTTTAGCAAGCCTCATGCCCTGTCAAATTTAGTTTCTGCCTAAATTAACCAGATCAGTAAGATTTCAATATAAAGTGTTTGCTATAAAAGCACTTAGTGAAAATTTATTGTCTCTCATTAAAATTTAATATCTTTGACTCCTTATGTTACTTTGTTTAGTGGGGGAAATATCAATACCTGAGGCTACTGTTATATTTTGTTAACAAAATTTTATATTTATAATTATCATACTAAATAGATCTACACTATCAGGTTTTATCTGTAATATAGTAAAAATGCATGTTCACCTTCGGCATGAATTTGTTTTCTTGCATAATTTCTAATTTTCTTATATTTGAAATATATACAAGCTATGTTTTTTTTTAAAAATCCATAATTAGCATACAAAATTTACTTATAACTTGGCATGACTTCAAGGGGTGAAATATGAAATAATGAGATTATTAGATTATTGCATATTTGAATGCCATTGTTTGTCTATTGTTGAAGCATAGTTTAACAGGTCCATAATCTGAAAGACAATACCCTACTATACAGAACAGTAAAATAGGCAATGACCTAGGTAATCATCTGATAATTTTCTTGTTATATCAAAATATGTGAGGACACTTAAGAATTACTTCTAGGCTACTAGTGAATTATTGCCTAAAAGTTAATATATATAATTAATTCTATTTTCATTACTAGCTGCACAATGAATTAAACTCTTTAGAATTTTAGAATCTATATATATGATTGTCAAATGATTATAATTATAATGATAGAACTGTCAATGTTGCAATTACACATTCTTACAACAACTAAATTATACATGTATACTACTAAAATGACACAAGTTTATAAATATTTTTCATAAATAAAAAAAAAATTTAAAAAAAAATTTATTACTCAAAATCAGAATTGTAGCAAAGACATTTGATAGTCTTTTCTTCTTCTGAAAAATATTCCAAGAAATTACATAAACAATAACATTAAAAAATATAATATACCTTTGGCTGAATGGTCGCACTCTTACAGCAACAGTTACGCTACAACTATCTTCCCCATCATCTGTTCTTGCATCAGAGTATCCGAAATCATATCTATTCTTATCCAAATGAACAACTGTATAACACTCAGGAGTTCCTAACAATTTTTCATCAAGTGTATGTCTACGCATTGAAGATGTATGTCTCACCCTCATATTAGGACTTGGAGTATAAAGTTTTACGGAAGCTATATCTTCATTTCCATTACTTATCAAATGAAAATTTCCCTTCACTGGTGTCCGTTCTATAATCAAATCTCCTGAATCCCTCGGGCTGTTAGGGAAATTTTCCTTGTCAGATTCATTATTGGATGTTACAGAAATCGCAACGGATACATTTCCATTTGATTTACTTGTATCCACTAACGAGTTAACACGCAGTGGGGTCACTTTTTCAAAACCATTGGAACTTCGTTCACACCCACTTTCATCCAAAAGAGGTGAAGTTGAATTTTCCGACCTCAAAGAAGTCTCGTCACTGCTCAACCTATTCATTGGGCTTAAAGGATCACCTTTCAGCCTGCCTGGTGTTTGAGTTCCTCCTATTGAAGTCTCAATTGTTTCAGAATTAAAATTAACCTGTGGAATATTCGGTAACATACGCTTCCCTTTGGTTCCTATCCTTGGTGTCGCCATAATTTTGATTTATTTACGATTATAATGAAATTAATATCCTTCTTACCAATAATTATCAACACATGCTATTTACCCGTCAACAGACCTAATGACAACAAAACAAAAGACCTTAATTGATCACACCTCCCAACACCCTGTGGCGATTAGCCAAACTTGCCGAACCGTGCGGATTAATACGCGATAAAACGATACCATAATCAACAACATCAAATATTTTACAATAAGTACAGAATATTTGATCTAACAAAATGAAAACATGTCATTAATTTACAAATTGATGCTCAGCAAGGTGAGATATTTATTTTTCCTTTCGCGCGTTTATAAAATCCAAGTTTTGAAATGACCACCATAACACAATATGTACGTTTTATAACGAAATTTCTGATTGGCTGATACTGTGTACTTAATGAAATGTTTGTATTTTCTGTTGGTTTGTCAAACGAATCAAGGTTTCCGTTTTCGTACTCAACTAAACATGAACTCATACTATATTAAATAATTATTTACCTTAAAATGTATTTGTTGTTTATCCAATATCACTTTGTTTATGTTTCATATTTATATCTAAGAATTATGTTTGCATACACTAGTTGTTTTATGACAATAATTCCCTTTAATATTATAATTTTAGTACTTAATTTGATAAACTAAGATTTTTACATGCAGTATAGACCCAGTACATCTCACTAGTCATGCGTTCAAAGAAGTTAATTCTGGAGCCCTTAAAGAGGTTTGTTTCTTCTTATCTTTATTGTTATTATTTATTTATTTATTTTTTATTGAAACGCTAATCGATTACTTGGACATTTCAGGCTAGCTAGCGTTGTTCTGTGGACCAGTGGTTCAAGCTGTAAATTTAGCTCCACACCTCCAGATGAACCAAAGTATTTAAAAAAAATCAAACTATGAGAAAAATGACTAAGATTTTAAGGAAAGTAAAAAGATTCAAGTGATAACTTACTTATGTGTGATTATAATGACTTATTTTCTTCTATCTTTTACTATCCTCTATCTTCTTTAATGTCAAACCCGTCGCGGAGACATGTCATACTGCTTCAAAGCCGTTTTTCTTTTGCAGTGTTAAACGCCATATTTCTATTGCGTGACTAACGATCCACTTACTTAATGATTATTTTGCATATTTTGACCTCTTTTTCGCATTTGACATGAAATGTAAGTGCTGTTTGCAATTTGTAGATTAACTTTCTTCGTTCTCTTCACAATATTTCATTTTTATATACATTTTTAAAATTTTCATGAAAATCAGAAAAAAATCTGCGGACATGTCGCATTGATTAAAATACTAATTCTAAGGACAACGACTCGTGGAAATATCGTGCTTTTTAAAATACAGTGAACACTTAAAAATGCGGATTGTAAATTTAAAAATAATAATATCAAATAAGAAATCAATATTTCATGAACGAATATATATGTATTAATTAAATGAAAGAAAAATTATGCCTGTTAAACAATCTTGCCAAATGTCTTCAATATAGACTAAATATGAAAACTGCCACAAACGCATTTATAATGTTATAATCTTCATGACAGTAGAAATATTGTTCTATATTTTCTAATCCTATAATAATGTGATACTTATATGCACATTATATTGTATTGTAGTTTTCAGTTTTCGTTTTATGTACCTATTAAAAAGTCCTATTTTTATTTCGCAACGCAATAGTTATGTATACAGCTATATGCATGCATAAATTAAGCAAAAGTTAACAAATAACATTTTCCACAACTTGTATTAAAATAAATAATCTTTAAGTAACTAATTTATGACTAGGACGAGCTTAAAACCGGGAAACGGACAAAAGCCGTCCCGGACAAAAGCCCTCCCGTCAATAAATAACAAGGCGGACAAAAGCCCTCCCGTGAAAATGACAGGGCGGACAAAAGCCCTCCCATGAAAATGACTGGGCGGACAAAAGCCCTCCCGTGAAATTAACAAGGCGGACAAAAGCCCTCCCGTAACAAAAATAGATATATATGTTGAATACCTGTGTTCTTTTTTCAATGCACTCAACGTATTAAAATTGTTACATATATTTCTTGTTGTTTTCAATTGGCCTAAGTACATGTATGAGCTAGTAACCACCTTTTATTCTGAATATACCTCCCTGTAATGTTTAACGAGGTAACTTTTTACACGAATGTCGTTAAAAACAAAGTCACTTTTAAAAGTAATTGACTCATTACAAGGCACATTATAAATGTCTTTAACTTTTAAGTTAGATAATTTTAACTTCTTTTGATAATTTATTAACTTTACATAGGAGTAATCCTTCATATCTACGTGAATAAATATGCACTTACAGAGTTTAGCACTAATTATTCAGATGCCTGTCAGGAATGTGCTCAAGCTCATACAAACACGCTTATGCCAATAGAAAACAAAAAGTATTCATGATTACAATTTTGATATGTTGAGTGCATTGAAAAGAAAACATAAACTATTCAACGTACATATGTATTTGCTGCGGGAGGGCTTTTGTCCGTCCTATTATTTTCACGGGAAGGCTTTTGTCCGCCCTGTCATTTTTATGGGAGGGCTTTTGTCCGCCCTGTCATGTTCACGGGAAGGCTTTTGTCCGCCTTGTCATTTTCACGGGATGGCTTTTGACAGCCCTGTCATTTTTGACGGGAGGGCTTTTGTCCGGGAGGGCTTTTGTCCGTTTCCCGCTTGAGTGTTTGGGTATTTTCAATTGATAAATATATAACTTTATGAAAAATGTAGCGAACATCTTTAAGCAATGTCATATACACGTGTTGGTGTTGCATGGAAGTCATAGCATTTAGATAAATATGCTTAGATTCAATTTAATTCTACATCCTATATCGCAGCAGATTAACAATATCACCAAAATGTGGCAAAATTTAAACATGATGATGGTGTAAGCTAACTAGGTATTACATACATACATATAAATAGACGTGGCATATGTCAGCTTGTTGTAAGACAGCTTAAATAAAAACTGGATTTGTTATACACATATATTTCTCAGAAAAAAGACACATTTCTTTATCTTTATCACTTTATTTCACGGGAGTGAACTCCAAATGTATCTCAAAATGTAGAAAAATATGCGAATTTCTGCTGATCCAGATGTGCGCTAGAACTTAAACTCGAATCCATAATGTCCTTCTTGCTTGCGGCCCTCAGGCTTTTATACATGTACATCTTCGGGCCTTTATACATCGCATAATGTCGAGCAGCAACCAAGTATAACCCTCTTAATAAAGCTTGGAATCTCTATGTGGCCAGATAATTAAAGACACAAACACACATCACATTATTTATTATTTTATTACCATTATCAACCGGTCACAAATAATTTACAATACGAAATGTATCTGATCTTTTATCTATAAATAAGAGTTTGTAAGTAAACAAGTTTACAAGATTTAACATAATTGATGCTGACTTAACAAAGACTAACCTACTTAGTAGTTGGAATTATGTTACACAGTGCGACGAGAAAGTGTCAAATCACAAAATGGTGCTGATAAAATGAATTAAATGTGTCACAGAATTCGAAAAATGGGACGATTTCATTGGACACAATATAATTTCAATCACTTACCAAGTATGAATACTGACGTACATGAATATTTACAAATAAACATTGAAAAAATAGAGGATACTGGATATGCGTGAGTATATTATGATTATGCGGATACATTTTAGAAATATATGTGTGCCTTTTCCTTAAAAAAGGCCTTATATATAATTCTGTTTAAATACATGTAATTCTATTCTTTAAACGTACAACGTCCAATATAATTCAATATATTTGAGCACGTAATGCAGGGAACTCGTCTGCGAGTCTCATACCATACCATATCATACCCTAGCGAGCTTTCTGGCATTGTGAAAACCTTCTGATTGAGTATAGAAATCATCACCTTAAGTATACTAAGATAGTTGATGTAATTCCCGGAAAATATGGATTAAGTACATTAACACACTGCACCATTGACACACTTCGTCAATGACACACACTTCACAAAAACATTTTAAAGGGACTCCACTGAGTATTTTTTTACTTATGAAAGGGACTAAATTTTTCGATATTAATGTTCCATTTGAAGAAGATCAGAATAATTATTCTAATTGTGAAAAATGACACAAAATTGAAAAGCGTTACAACGTTTTTCACTCAAATCGGACTAGAAATAGCTCAAAAATACGATTTTCAATTTATTTCTTTTTATATTTATTAATTATCTTTTGTATCACCTTCTGTTTTGAAAGCCCCAGCTAGACTTTGTAAGAAATTAAAATTTTATGTTTTTAGTCTTTTGGACCTCAGTGGTGTTCCTTTAACATTGCATGTGCAAGCCTATAGAAAATTAATTTCAATGCTGCTCGTCCTCTTCTTTTTCTATTTTTAGACTATGTCTTTTGACGCCGGAATGCACATTCTTACCAAATTTGAGATTAAATTTGTTCACGCGATACCATTCCGTAAGCTCATCGATTGTCTGCGGCAATTCAACTCCGTTGGTTTCTGGCACAAATGCAAATAGAAACATTGTAACTAAGCACAGTGCTGCATAGATGCAAGCTGGTAGCCATTTAACTTGTTCTGACTGAAAGAAAATAAAATCTTCTATAACATGCTAGAAGTTCATAGCAATATTAATAACTTCAGAAATGTTTTTTTTTGCTCATATAATAAACATGTTGTACTATTATTAACAAATAAGATGGACATGTCTAAAAGCTGATTGAGGATGGGGGATGGCGTGCATATGAAATACTCACAACATTTCGCGAAAAAGGAGCAATCATAGCGCCCACTTTACCCATAAAAGATGCAACCCCAAGGCCAGAATTCCTGAAAATAAATGTAAAATAAAAAGCCTCTGTGTAGCTGTGTAGTGTTTATATTTGATATAGATTTCTCTACATATATCAATCATCATCACCATCACATTCATTCATTCATTCATCATTATCATCATCATTATTGTTGTTGCTATTATTATTGTTATTATTATTATCATTATTATTATAATATAAAGACATATATTAATATTACCTCATATTGGTAGGGTACAACTCCGGGGTGACAACATAGGCGGAGCTAAATGCTCCAGTTATACCCATTTTACCTACCAGGATAAACGCCGTCCCGGCCGCCAACATACTGGTATTGTCTCCTAAAATTATACTTATATTATCGAAAAATATGCCAGATGGATTTGTATTAACACACATTATACTAGTACTCAATGTATGTATTAAAATAGAGAAAATCAGAATCCCTAAAGAACGCCAAAAACGACAAAATTGTAATTGTTGCAGGCGCGGTTTGATTGAGCCTGTTCATGAACGGTAATGGAAAGTTAACGTTATCGCCCCATAACACCAGCTTAAGCAGAATTCAACAATTAACATGAACTTTTATAAAGATTTTGGTTGCAACAATTGTTTTTTTCTATTGTGTCAATTGGCGGCTAACAATTACGCTCCTATACACTATGACACTTTGAACCCCAGATTTCGCAACCATAATAGAATGATTTGAAATTTGAATGAAAACATTATTTATTAGATATTGCCAAGAACAATGAGGAAAGTTGTGTCTTATTTAATGAACAATGCCTAAATTGTATGATATTGATCTAAATCGGAAGATATTTAAACATTAGACATGCAGTTGTCGGATCAAATTAAAAGATATTTCATTAATTGTTAGATATACCCCAATCAATAGATTTATATTAGTATCAATTACAAGTACACAATGGTGAAAGTATGGTGAAAATTGTATAGTGTTAAACGGATTATACTGGTAGATTGCCGAAAATTGAATTAAGTAATCATAAATTTTATCTTAAAAGTGTAGAGTGACAAATAGTGCCGAAAGTTTACCGGCAGTGTAGGTCAAGCCCGTTGCAACAACCAGCCCAAAAGCAGCTATGGCGTGACAGATTATACACGTCCACTTCCGGCCAATTCTACATGTTAAATAATAATTTAGAAAAAGTCTTTTCATATTTGAATACAAACGAGTATTAGATTAAGCAAACAGGATTATTTTTTATTGTTCTTAAATTTTTATTAGAATACATATATGAAATGAATGAAAAAAGCAATATTATGAAAAACAAGGTACAAAATGTTAAAAGAGTAAGCCTGTAGCGAATTCGGATGATTATGATAATGTATCCAGTCAAGCAATGCGTAATAAATCGTTGGAGAATATACAAAATGCATACTTGGCTAGTGCAAAATACTCGAATACAGACGCTGGGTATTCAATAAGCGCACTCAGGAAGAAGTTGATGTATCTGTCTCCATATAGATCCGATGATATCATATACAGTCCATAATATACCAGGCTGTCAACAATCCTGCAGTAAATATATAATACCATTTGAATAAGGGAATAAAATCTACTGGCATTGTACAATAAATAATATACCATTTGAATAAGGGAAAAAAACTACTGGCATTGTATAGTAAATAAAATATATCGTTTGAATAAGGAATAAAATCTACTGGTATTGTATCGTAAATATATCATACCATTTGAATAAGGCAATAAAATCTACTGGCATTGTACAGTAAATATTATACAACTTAAATAAGGGAATAAAATCTACTGGTATTATGCAGTAAATATACTATTTGAATAAGGAAAAAAACTACTGGCGTTGTACAGTAAATAAAATATATCATTTGAATAAGGGAATAACCGTATAATTAAATAATGGCAGAATCCAAAATTCCAAGCGAGAATGGAATTATAAAGTTTAGCAATGTTTTGCATTAGTATTCAGATACATGTATTGGAAAACGTTTTATAAAGGGATCTAATAAGCGTCTTAGTAGATTGCATTCCCTTTTTATCAAATGATATAATATATTTACTGTAAAATTACAGTAGATTTTATGCCCTTATTCAAATTGTATAATATATTTACTGTACACTACCAGTAGATTTTATTCCTTATTCAAATGAAATATTTTATTTTATTTACTGTACAATGCCAGTAGTTTTTTCCAACAAGCTTTTCAAATGCTATCTATATTTAGCTTTTTTTTCTCTATGCAGAACGCGCACGCGAGAAATATTTTCCGCGTTGATATGGAATTGGCAATTTGTAAAAAGCTTAGTATGAGATACAAAGCCGTGTAACTGTCCAAGGTGTTTAACCGCTATTTTTACCTTTCCCAGAATATCGAAAAATTTGATAGTGAAGTTATATTTGAATATGCATAAATCGAACTGGGACTGTTAAATAAAATCCAAAAAGCCTACAACAATAACAACAACCAAACTTAAAGCCATAGAGCACGCATTACTTTTGATTGTTTCTGGACATTGTGTTTATTCATTGGTTGCGTGTTGTACGTTTTTTCGTTATGGGTCTATGTCTTTATAAAATCATTAAATTTATTTGATATTACTTGTACATAGATGTCATTATAAAATCATTAAATTTATTTGATATTACTTGTACACAGATTCAAATTTGCGTATTCAGGTATGACGACAATTTCAAGCTGTAATCAAGCAACCCGTTTCATGACATCTTTATCATGTTGACATGATTCTCGACATAAGGTGATAATGTCAAATCTTCATTGCGAATGAATAAATTAAAACGTGATTAGGAACAAAATAGCAGACGAGTATGAAAAAAAGATGCAACTGATTATTGACAAATGAGCCGCGTTACGACAAAACCAACATAATGGGTTTGCGACCAGCATGGATCCAGACCAGCCTGCGCATCCGTGTAGTCTGATCAGGATCCATGCTGTTCGCTTACAGACCCTATAACAAGTAGAGAAACTGAAAGCGAACAGCATGGCTGGTCTGGATCCATGCTGGTCGCAAACCCATTATGATGGTTTTGTCGTGACGCGGCTCAAATTATTAGTAATTTAATGGATGGTCACGTACAACATGTTTAGGTTCTTATATAGATATACTTTCTGATACAAGTATGCTAATCTAGAAATAGGATAATTTTATATCACGGGTATTTTGTCAGCTTATTTATCGCTGGGGCTTTAAAGTAAAGTATTTTACGTTTGAAATCTTTGCGAATGGCCACACAGTTAATGATTTTGCATTTTAACGCTCCTCAAACTAGATGCAATAACTATTGCTTTTATGAGTGACAATAAAGGGGAGCGGTGGCCTAGTGGTTAAGGTGTCTGCCTCTTAACCCATAGATCATGGGTTCGAGCCTTACTCAGATCACGACCGTGTTTCTTCATATGACACCAGTACTGGTTGGTTCCAGGAAGCTGACTCGAAAGTGATTAATATAATTTATGTTCTTGCAACTTGTTTCGCAATCGAGCTAAAAATATGTTTAAACTATGAATGACAATTTAATCATAAAGCAGAACTGGCATGTTTTGAAAAGTCGAAATGATATGAAATGAAGTGATCTTTTTATAAGTTTGATCGGTTCAGTCCCAGTTAAAGGAATAGCCCCCGATCCAATCCATGCAAAAGAACAAAGAATCTTTGCGAATCATATAGCACGTGGTTCTTTAAGCTCTTTTTTGATTTCCTTATAAGACACACTGAAACTATAAAATTAATTAGGTGGCTTTTTGTCAGCATCATCTAAGGCACTAGAGGGCACCTGAGTAGAACCACTGACGGTCCGTAAGCTATAGCTGAATAGCTTTCTCACATGAAGGAATCCAAAGTCCCTGGTGAAAACCCTCGGATGTGAGGACCCACAACTTTGATGGCCAAGTGATTTAAAGTCAACTACCTTAACCATTCAGCAACTAGCCCTCTAGTATAATCTAATCTTCTTGTCGGTTGTACATGCTAGTACTGGTCGTATTAATAATAAGTGTGTATCTGACAAAATCATTCTAGTGCATAACATAGATATAGCATTAAATATCAGACACCACCTTTACAAACTTTACCAGATGTCATATTATTACATCTTATAAGTGCAAAGTCACGTTACGCTTCTGCTTGAATATTAATACTATGAACCTCAATAATTTTATGCACCACATCGTTTGATCCGGCCATCATAATGAAATGCAAATACATCTGCAAACTAACTCTTGCCACACTAAATATCTTAGATGAACTTTTACAGTTTGCAATAATGGTAAAGCTTCTGTCATTTGTAGGAAAAGTACTAAGGTTATTTGTATTATTGTGTATAAGTATTAATCAGTCTTATTGCCCTAGTTATCGGGCAAGTTGTATACCTGTAATTATAGAAAGGTTAGACTCTCTGCTACATGTACGTATGTGCAATAAAACTCGAGAAAACCTAACACGGTAATAACAAAATCATTTGAACCTTCCAACTGTCATGTCATGAATAGTGAAAGGTGCATATCATGATCAGATGACACGAATGAGCAAGCTTATCTGTCTACACAGGTCGCATGAGTTCATTCAGTTGCCGCCAGCCGGCCAAGGGCTTACTTACCACGTATACCACATTATCAAAGAAACTTTGAAAATGTTTTTGTGTCGAACTATATCCAATACACTGTATTCCTTCACCGCTACTTCTACCTCCTCTTTCTGCTCTCCGACCAAACTCTTTAGTTCCTGCACACCGTTTTCTGTTTTATCCCCCTGATGTTCATGTAGTTTCGCCTTCAGTTCATATTCAGGAGTCGTTTCACTTAGACCTATCTTTTCCAGGACTTGTTCATAATTCTTGTTATTCCATTTGCATGCATTTTTTATGATAGCTTTTGCGCGATCAATCTGACCGTTTGCAATTACCCATCTTAGAGATTCATCTAACATCCTAGAATCAACGATGTATTTGACAAATAAGAAGTGCAGTTGAATTATGAATAATTTTTAGTTATAATAAACTCGATAAATTTTTATCAATCTAAAGCATTATATTTATGGAAAGCAATAAAATGGTGTAAAATACCACGAGATACGCACAAATTTGTGTTTTCGTTTATTAAATAGAAAAGAAAACAGATTCCCTCAAGGAAACCCAACGCGGCAAAATTTAAAACGTTACAGGTTTGGTTTGATTATACCTCTTTATGGACGGTAGTGGTTATTGTAAGCTTCCGTCATCAGCTTAAGCGGAATCAAACATTTAACATGATCTGGTAAAATAAAATTTGGTATTGACCTTCTTGTACATGATTTTCGCAAGGATAAGGACTAACACCCATATATCTACATCATTCGCATCTTTTCGGTCTTTTCCGTCAAACTTCGGATATTCAAAGTAATAGCCGAGATGTTCCGATTCCAACATCCGTTTCGAATAAACTAACTGTGAAAATCTATAGGAGACATGTTTTATATTCTACAATAAATGACATGTATATTCAACATACCACCACTGAAATATTGACCAGGCGCTCATCAGAGCGTATGTTATCTGTAGGTATCGCCATGACACATTTCTCAACGCGTACGCTATAGGCGACATTATGCAGATTGCGGTGGTCCACATTGCAAGAGCTAGGACTTCCGTGTAATGTCTAACTTCTGTCGGGAATGTCTCCAAGGCTAAAGTTGTACCAGATAATGCACCCTGTTTTTGTTGATGATAAATAACATATTCGAAAAAACAGTTACCCCCACCAAGCTCCACTTTTCGGTAAAATGAAGAACTAGTAGTTATATGAATAAAATGAGTATTGCAGGTAGGACTTGCCATACAAGGTTTGAAGTTTCTCAGGTGTGCTCTTCGATTGAGGTTTTGTTATAACATATCCAAGTGACCTAGCCCCATTGTGTGGGGACCGATCTCTCTCATTGGATTCATCACTTACAACAGGACATACAAGTATAAGTTACTCAAGACTCGGGGCCCGGCTCAGGAAATCAGTGGAAGTTATGACTCTATGATGCAAGTCCGTTAGACGGTTCGTGTTTCTTTGAGCCGAGCAACACAGGTTGACGGCATCAACGTGTGAAGTTTGAATGATAAATCTTTCTTAGTATTAAAGTTATGATAATGAACGACAATTAAACCGAAAAGGTGGGGAAAAACGTGGACACCATCGCCGACACCGACGAATCGGTTATGACAATAGCCCAAGATTTTCTTCGAAAAGTGAAGCAAAATAAATTAATCAAATGTGACCGTGAAATTGTTTTGAAAATCAGGCTAAGCTACATGAAATATTTTCATTTATTTTTTGCATTTATGAATTATTTGTATTAACTACAAACTTTTTAGATGTTAAAAACTACTGGTTGATTTTGAAAAACAAATGGGGGCGGCACACTTCATGACACCTTACGTTGAATTTTTGATCTACTAGTATTTTAGTTATATTTTTTTATTTTTATACACAAATGGAGGCACACTTCATGGCACCTTACGTTGAATTATTGATCTACTAGTATTAGTTATATTTTTTTATTTTGATACAGAAATGGAGGCATACTTCATGGCACCTTACGTTAGTATTAGTTATATTTTTTTTATTTTGATACAGAAATGGAGGCACACTTCATGACACCTTACGTTGAATTATTTATCTACTAGTATTAGTTATATTAATTTTTTTTATTTTGATAAATACCTGACATACAGCTCCCGTCAAAATTCTCAAAATAACAAAAACAGTGTAGTTGCTACTAAAAGCTGTCCCAAAAACGATTCCGAACAATATCATGTGACTAAACACCATCACGGGCTTCCGGCCAAACCTATCTGTGAAAAACAATATTCACATATGAAGCAAAAACATATTTCTGTGGATTGTTTTTATATATTCTTTATCTCTTTTTTGCATTGCTATGTTACAAGAATAAACTTTACTTTTTACATAAATTTATACATTCCGTCTATTATTCATAATCAGAACATCACCGTTGCAAAAATAAACAGGAAAGTTTTGATTATTTCAATTTTATCTTCTATACATTCCTCACTTTAAGAATTCAAATGATCGGTTGTACTTTTCTAAGTAGTTATTTAGGGGCAAACGTTTGATAATCTAAATTAAATTTGATAGTGTTTTTGGCATTGGTACAAAGTAATTCTTTCCTCTATATTTTAGCTATATGTCAAGAAAGACTTACAAGTCTCGCTTGATAGAAGAGGATAAAAGAATCTTGGCTTTGACATAATTATATCTAAGTTTATATGTCTTTTTAGGGCATACAATATTATACAGTAGTGTGTGCATTATGATTAAACATATATTTAAAAGTTCACTCAGTAACTTGTTATTTAAAAGTACTGTTTAAAATACTGAACAACATAATCCCTTAAGAAGGCCCATAACGGCAAAGTTGGAAATGTTGCAGGCAATGGCAGCTTCGGCATCTCGACCTTTCTGTCGTTTTTCAGTTTGCTAATTCGCCAAGAAATTCAAATAAGTACAACATTAATACCTATAGTTTTTATATATTCTGAACAGGATTACCGTTATGCTTAAAGATGTGGCAAAGAGATTATTTGTACCTGACAATTTAGGACAAGCAAAAGTTCCGAGAGTCATGTCAACTAGGTGTCTGTTATGATAAAAAATATTTTGAAGAACATATTGAACCTGGTAATGTAGAGAAAACAAAGGTTTCTAGCGTCATGTCAACTAGGTGGCTGTTATGAACAATGGAATTTTGAACCTTGTAAGTTGGGGAAAACATACGTTTCTAACGTCATGTCAACTAATTGTCTGTTATGATCAAATATGAGACCAAGAAATTATTTGTACTTGTACCTGACAATGTAGGGAAAACAAATGTTCCTAGCATCATACCAACAATAAGAAGTGTCTGTGTGAGCTCTGCAAACTCTGCATTCTCACAAACAAAATCCCACTACAAGACAGAAATGAAATGACAGATTTTATAATTCAACTGTATACATATATCTATCGAGCATACAAATGTACAAATGTTATGTATAAGGTACGTATAAATACCTTAGCTATTTGGTAATAATCTAATGACATACTCATATAGGAGTGCATGCTATGTTTCATTTAAAGCATACACATGTAAAAGTGCGTTGCAAAATATTTGTTAGCCTATGTAATTACAGACATGATCCCACTTTTCGTGACGAGCTTGAATTAGAATACTTTTCTCATCAATTTTATTTACATGACTATGCATTAAGTTTACATGCCTCTATAACGAATTAGAGTTACTTCTGTTTCAAATTTGCGTTGCTTCTCTCATCATTTTTATTAAAATAAATTTGAATTATTCGGACTCTTAAACGATTCTGAGTGATTTCTTATATTTATGTCTTAAATTTAATCTATCTCTGTTACAAAGTTGTTTTGATTTATCTCAATTACGAATTTGATTTATCTCAATTACGAATTTGATTCGATTTACTTCAGTTACCAATCTGATTTACTTCAACTGCGATCGGATTTACCTCAGATATAAACTTGATTTGATCTACGCCAGTTACGAATTTGATTCGATTTACTTCAGTTACGAATTTGAATCACGTCAATTATGGATTGGTGTTACCTCATATACAAACTTGTTTTAATTGACCCCAGTTACAAATTTAATTAACTAAGTTACGATCATTATGACTTACCTCAGTTACAAAAGATTGTTCTGTAGGAATATCATAATCCCAGCCGTGGGTACATTTTGTTGTGGTGACCTTGACCTTGTCTGTCGAGTTATCAGTTGTCACGATGGAACATTGCTGGTACTGTACATCTATTCCGGTCCGGTTGGCAATAAATGAAGCATTTGGTGGTGCTTTACATTGAAACGCTGGCCTATACCCTAACAATAAAATTATTAACATCAAACAATAGTTGTATATGACACGTATTTGATTTTGGTTTATACAGAATTTATTTTAGTTCGATTGTGTAGGAAGCTATAAGCTTATAGACACCCTTTCAAATTTGATGTTGCAGAGCCAATGGCAATCAAACAGTTTAAAATAATCCTCTCGTAATTTAATGCAGAAGTAAGGTGTTCAGTTTGGAAAGTAAAAATAAAATAATTTCCCCTTAAAATACGATTTTATTATCCAGCTAGGTTTTCATTTATATCTGATTTCATAAATTTAACACGAAATGGTGCCACTTCCAGGTTTGACGTGTAGTAAAAGGCACTATTTTTGATTTAATACATCCTGTCATCATATTTCTTGGGTAAAACCTGTTTCATATTAGTATCTAAGCCTAGGACATTAGTGTTGTTTGCGTCGTTGTAATATTCTTTTTCTTACATAATTCAAGGGAACAGTTTGAAAGTACGATGCAATACCAAAGATGTACAACAGCTTGTGTCACAGAGAATAAAACACAATGCAATAGCAAAATTATGTACATTATACTGGAAAGGATTAATACACAGTGTAGTAGTACAGTTGTGTATGTAAGTGAATAACACACAATGCAATAGCACAATTGTGTACAAGAGAATAAAACTCAGTACATAGCAAATAATGTTTTAACACGTAGTGTCACAAGTTCAGAGAATGATACAACTTGAATCTGTGGTCAAATTAATACATCAAAAACATAAGGTTACATTTATATATTTTTCTTTAAAAGTGTATTATCAAATTTTATTGACATCAATCATAAGTTAGGTTAGACACAATGCCAAACTTTTTATTGTTAATTGATAATTGGTTTCATCAATACAGCTTCTATCACTTCCGTACACCAATAAAAGAGATGTGGTGTTCTTACACAAAGCATAAGGTATATTTGATAGACTTATTTGACATTTGTAATAAGTAGCTCGAAATGCTTCTTCCGTTTCTAAGGAACTTTTGCATTGTAAAAAAGTCTATAGAGCAATAATGGACCGCTCGCAATAAAGTCCACCATTGTTTTGTAAAAGAATATTTGGCTTTAGAAAATAATTTTACATTTGCATATATAGATTCATTACAACCATTAAACCATCCATTATTTAGCTAACGAATACAAAATATTAAAGGTCGAAGCTCATTGTAGTTTTGGAAATCTGGAACCAGCACCCCCACCACCCTTAAAAAACAACAACAAATAACAAAACAGAATGATCTTGCTTTCTGGACATGATTTGTAATCATATGTTAAGTGTTTACATCTATGCATGTACAATGTATATAATAAAATATTGTTATTGATATATTAAATGTAAAATTGTGTTGTTTCCATAATTTTGGCCGATTCTCGACAGAGTTGTTACATTGAATGTCTCTATTATTTAACACACACGGATACTGTACATTAACATAAAAAGATATTCTTGAACAAAATTTGATGCTGCTATTTTACGTAGGGTTAAATCATTTAGCAATGACTTTGTGCACATGACATTTACACTGTAGCAGATATACTAAACACATTTATTTTTTACAGGTATTTTGGAATTATTCTTTATTGAAAATTTAAACAAAACATTTGTAAATTAGGAAGAGATATAGCTTTTTAACCTTTATGTGTAGAAAATCCTACAAGCATGCAGTTTTAGTATATACTTTTAAATGATAATGTATACACAGTTTAAGGGGGAGCCTTTCAAATTGTAATGTAAAAATAGTAAAATGTAAATAATAAACAGCAAATTCAATTTCTTTTTCTATAAATACAGGATTCATTTTCATCTTGTGGAATGAAACTTATCATATTTCATTCGTGGCTACTGCTATTCGTGAAATATTTATTTTCAGGCCACGCGATGAAAACATATCCTGTATTTATAAAGAAAAACTTGAATATCCCCTATATAATTATAGTTTATTATCATGTTTCATCATACAATGTGTACATGTTGAAAGTTTGCATAAGCGAAAATTACTATTGTATGTATATAGAGGATATGATAGATTTCAAAACTTGATCATGTACATAGATAATGTTCGCATATATTTGAATACTTGTGTTTCAATCAATCTATGGTAAATTAACTTGGAAACTATGGTTCATGTAGAGAGTGTTCATGTACAGTTAAATATCATAATACTTTAACGAACAACGTCATTGTTACTATTGTAATACTGATCAAAACTGAAAAAAAAGATAAAAAACAACAACAAAAAACGACCAATCAAACCGAACAGACAGTCACGGAAATATAACTATTTCATTATACATGCACAATTTAATACTATTTAAACTTTATTATCATTTTACCGCCACAAGTTAATTACTTCTCATGAAAATATTTTTTTGCACTTTAACGTGAACCACTATATACTAATTAACATGTTATTTTCATGTATATATTTCATATTTCATTTTGAGTCACTCTATCATGTATGCATATAGTTTTAAATTAATTTGTAATTTTTTCTTGAAGAAAATATTTTTACTTAAATCCAATATTTTCTAAAATATTTGCAGACTGACTGGCCGGACAAGTATTTCTCAACCTTAGACAGGATCTTAGAAGTAAATGTGTATATTATTTATAGATAGACATTCCTTCAGTATCTGGAATGTGGCAAAAGTCCTTCAGTATTTGTAATAAAATGAAAGGCATTAATTCTTAAAAAAGGAAGGAAGAAAACACAAAACAACAACAACAACAACAACAACAACAACAACAACAACAACAACAACAACAACAACAACAACAAAGATACCACCACCACCACCACCACCACCACCAACAACAACCAACCAACCAACCAACCAACCAACAATATGAGTATTATTATATATCTTACACGCATTGATAATATCTCGATTCAGTAGTTATTATTTTGACTTATTTTGTGCCTTTGTTTTAATTTGTAAAAGAAATATGGTATATAAGAACAGATATGGCAACAAAGTGCTTGCTCCCTTCATTCGATCACAAGAAAAATAAGCTTTTGTTTCACATATTTATTTTGTTGTCCTCTGTATTGTTTATATGATACTTATCTGTTTGTTAACAATGATAATTTTGATAAACATGTTACCTAGACAGAGATATTTTCAGTGTGTGAGATACCAGAAAGTGATGTAGGTTGGTCAATATGATAATTATCAGATAAACTTGCTTTCATCACTGACCTTGACCTTAAAGGTCAAAAGTATATCAATTAATCAGACTTCTGTTTGGCATACCTTGGCTCCATTTAATTGATAAACATATCCATCATCATACTATTTGTAATGAAGTTGCCTGTTTTTATTTGATATAATTGAAGATATACTATACTTTTAAAAATTCTATGTCAGAAAATATTGATAATTGCTACACAGTCTCTTTCGTAAATATAAAATAAACACCTTTTGACTTTTCACAAAGTTTGTAATGATATGTTTGAAATTTTACAAACTATATATAGTCACAATATGAATATATAGTGTCATTTAAAAAACTGACAGTTTATTTAAGAAAAGACTATCTTTACTTGGCCTGTTGTAGGGAACGCAGCTTCCCATACATAGTTTACTCTTTCTTTTATTCAAATTATACATATTCAGTAAGAATTTCATAGATTTCAATAAATTTCTGTACTCCAGGATGACGATAGTATATCTTTAACCAAGTCCATTTGGGTGAATTGGAAGGATGTCTATCCTAGGGAGAGATTGAGATTGCATGACAAATAGAGATGACCTTGTGGTTTATAGGAGTTATGGTCATAGGTTCGACGCCAACTGGGATGACGATCATAGTTTCTCCATAGGACTGACTCCAGCTATTAGTTATTGATGCAGTAGTCAGGACCGCACGAGTGTTTGGTTTAAGATTATAGGCATATTTAAGCTAGCGCTGCGGAGTAGTAGACGATCATAGTTTCCTGATATGGCTTACACCAATTATGAGCTATTGTTGCAGTAAGCTGAACCCGCATGTGAGTTTGGTTTAAGACCATATGTATATATAAGCTGGCCCAGCGGAATATCGAACTTGATAGTCCTAGATTTGTACACATTCAGACTTAATTATCACTAAGTCTTAAGAAAAATAACTTAGTGTCACGTAATCTAAGCTTATGTGTCATATATCTCTTACCTTTTCATATTTACATAACACTCTTCCCTTGATACATTTATCATGTTTACAAACTTTTTATCTGTAACAATCTAATATAACTACTGTATGGAGATGTCAATACGTTTTTGCCTAAAGGGGTGCGTTCTTTTACTAATTAATTTAAAAACTTTTGCAGCCGCTTTTAGTTTTTAATAAAAAAAAATAAAAGACCTTTTTTCAAGCAAAGGAAAAAAAATTGATAATACATTTCTATAATTATAACTGCTGTTGTCATGATGAAAGTTTATAATTATAGCCTTAAAAGTTAATATTAAAAAACGAAAAATTGATGTCGGTCTAATATATATTAAGTCGAGTCAGCAAATATTAGTTGGCAAGGTATTGCACAATCTGGAAAGACTTCCGTGAAGTCGTACATGCTTTCCGGACGAAACAAACCTGACAATCCTGGGACAGAATATATATATTGCTATGATGTAATAAATATGATAAATATGAAGTGTATTCATTTACTAAAAAAGACACGCCATGTATGGGCTGACTATATTTAGTGAATAACAGTTGCATTAATTTGTCCTGAGATTTACAAGGACAAAGTACAATGATGTTTTATTTCACAAAACTCACAGAATCATCCTGATTTGCGTTAATTATTGAACAAATCTGGAGGTTGGTGATCCTTTGAAAGCATTAACCACAACAAAATTACATGAACATTGAGGACTCGGTTTGATTATGTCTTTGCGTGAGTATGAAAAAGTACAATATCCCTTACGCCCCATAACACCGGCTTTAGCGGTTCTCAAGAGCGATACTCAATTTTCAACATTTAAAAGTGCTGGAATCAATGGTCCATAAGGACCAGAAAAATATAACAACATTGAAGCCATATCTTTTCTGCTAATGTGCATACTTACCATAGAAATTATCACACTGGATATGACATATTTATGGTAAAATTTGTTCATATATCTACATTCGACAGTTCATTGACATTTGACTTCACAAATATTTTATCTGTTAGGTTAAGGTTAGGTAAAATAAACCATGATATGTAGTATGATTTCACGTGTCAAGGTCAAAGCTTAAAAAGTTACTAAGATTCAGATATTATATTATACATGTTTTCGTATTCATATTTCTTCGACAAGAAATGTATGAAATGTCAGGCTCCAAAATTTCTGTGATAATGGAATACATTGCTTTAAGTCAGAATAGGAGGTGTTGGAGTTGATTTTATAAGTATATGTTCTCAGGTCCGAATATGCATACACTGTTAAATTATTTTAACCGGTAACCTGAAATGCCGACCACCCACCCTCTCTAGACCGGACATATGTCCTTGTCCATTTTCTTGCTATATAATTTATCCCTTTAAATTCCGGATATCTCTTAATTATGGACGAGTTTTACGGCTTACAAATACTTATTGCAAGACAATTCTCCTGTAATCCGGTCTAACGTTATTCATTTCGTGGACGTTTCTTCCGGTTTGCATATTTCCAGGTCGAACATGGATGCAAATAGAAAAGTTTGCATGTTTAAAGGTAGACAATTTATGTACATGGTCAGGTTTGCATATGTCAAGGTCATTCATATATATATAAATGGACAGGTTCGAGGATCATGTTTTAAGGTCGAACTTATGTATGTGGACAGTTTTTATATTTCAAGGTGCATGTAAATGGCAAGGTTTGTATGTTTAAAGGTCGAACATTTATGTACATGGACAGGATTGCATTATCAAATTCGAACATGAATGCATAATAATGGCAAACTTTGTATGTTTAAAAGTCGAGCAATTATGTACCTGGACAGTTTTTCATATTTTTAGGTCGAACATGCATGCAAATGACAAGGTTTGTATGTTTAAAGGTCGAACATTTATGAACATGAACTGGTTTGCATATTTATGATCGAACATGCATGCAAATGACAAGGTTTGCATATTTCAAGGTCGAACATGCATGTTTAGGCCATGTTTGCATGTTTAAGGTCGCGTACTATTTATGCCTATGACTAGTTTCGAATGATTTAGTGTTGAATTTATATGTAAGATCAAGTTTATATTTATCAGCATTGAAGCACGCTTTGCGATTTGAAAACAAGATTTAAAATCATGTTGGCCATTAAAAACGAAGTGTAAACGTCATTTATCAAACAATGAATACATATACATGTAAAGGGATACGGGCATTTGTCACTGTTTCAAAAGGGATTCGGTCTTTTCTTAGTATTTTAATAGAGATACGGGCATTTGCCACTAGATCTATCTTTTTATTTATTCCCTTTTTTCTAAAAATAACAACAATATGTATCTTTAAAACTTAAAAAAATAACCGCGGTCAACACTGGCCTATGCCGAGTGTTCTTATACTGTAACAATATTTTTAATGCTTTCAAATGATAAACACACGATAATTTCGTCCGACATGTACCGGTATGAGGACGGTAAATAGCCTGCGGAATTACCGGAAGTCAAAGAGGAAACAAACAGCTTACGGCCGAAAAGAAGCACACTCGTGGCTTACCTATAAATACGATACTTAGCTGATGAATCACCCAGGAAACACAAATGAATAGATATGATGACAGTTGTTTCCACTGGTATTTTCCCCACGGATCCAAAGTTCTCCAAATATGGTCAACATTTATATCTTCAACATTGATTCTCGTCATTTCGTCTGTCTGAGTGAAGTTCAATTTATTTTAGTACTACATAAATCCAGCAGTATCACTATAAACAATTCCTCATATATTCTAATATCAATTTAAATAATTCAAGTCTTCTCATTAAAAACAATTATATATTTTTCAATTCGACGTCGAAATAATTTTCTGAACAATCTAGCACTGAGTTTTGCTTCTATTACAATGCCGTTTGCATATCTGTATTTAATGTATGCAAATAAACGAATTGGTACAAGTAATTAAAACCTTTATCAGATGGGTACATTTAAATCATGTAAGTATATCAAATTCAACGTCATGCTTTTATCAATGGATACTATATATGTATATTAATGATAATATATATAACATAATATTATAATTAAATAAGCCAGAAAGTGGCCATGTTGTATTTTTCGGGATTTTTTTTAAGTTGCATAGTTGTGTGTACTTGAGATTTTTAAGATACTCTTAAGTGTCAGAACAAAACGTTTTTTCACTCAAAACTACGGTGTCCAAAATTTAGTACTAAATTTCGCATGTCTTAAAATTCGCTGGTCTCTCAAGAGATTATTATCGCCTTTCTATAGACCAGGAACACTAATACTTGCGAAATTTAACAATTTCGCCTCGATAATTATTGTCTTAGTTTTCGTATGTTGCGTGTTCCTCACGCGATAATTATCGAGGTGAAGTTTTCAAATTTCACTAGTATTCATTAAGTTTCCATGTTCTCTAAACAAGAGGGTCAAGATGACTTTAGATCGCTCACCTGACCCATCGAACCCCTCCGAACAATTACCTAGACAAGCATTCTGACCAAGTTTCATGACAGGTGAGTCAAAATGTGACCACTAGAGTGTTAACAAGGATTTTCCATATTTGAGCAGTGTGAACTAGTTTTTGACCCCAGATGACCCATATTCAAACCTGACCTAGAGATCATCAAAACAAAATTTGAGACTAATTTCCAGGATATTTCGATCAAAACAGTAGCCGCTAGAGTGTTAACAAGATTTTTCTATTTTTAGCTCCTGTGACCTAGTTGTACATCCGAGATGACCCATGTTCCAACTCACATGAGTAATTACCTAGACAAGCATTCTAACCAAGTTTGTTCAAGGTTTTTCTATTTTCAGCTCCTGTGACCTTTTTCATCCGAGATGAACTATGTTCAAACTCTTTTGAGCTATTACCTAGACAAGCATCCTGACAAAGTTTGATGATGATTGAATCAAAAATGTGACCACTAGAGTGTTAACAAGGTTACCTATTTTTAGCTCTTGTGACCTAGTTTTTCATCCAAGATGACCCATATTCGAACTCATCCGAGTACTTACGGATCGCTCGAGAGACTTGCGAAATTTAAGACATGCAAAATTTAGTCCTTTAGGGGCGATAATTATCGCGTGTTAGTAGCGAAAATTTTTGTGGACGAAATAGGACACCATACAAAACATACAAAATACGAGACTACAAATCAAGAGAGAAGGCGACATACAGGGTACACAGCATCTAACAATATCCCGTCGTATAGGACATAAAAGAAACACTTCAAAAGAAATTGTTTTACCGATCGTGTATCCGATTTTGAGTTAAGAAGTAGTTTTTTTTATTATGAACAATATATATTTTAGCGCTTGTATTCTGTTTCATTAGTTGATTAAAATAGACGAAACGTATACATCAAGATGTACGGTGGGACAGAGGTGACATATTTATTGTTTATTGTGGGAACGTGATAATTATGTCGTGGCCATGAGATATAACCTTTTGGTCACGAGATAAATAAAGTAGTGTTACTCTGTGCTATTGTAGAAATGCAACATGTAGTTACTTAATTAAAGCAATGTATAATCAACAAACATATAAATATTATGCTAGTGAAAAAGACAGAACTATGCATACAATCAATATTCTTTTATTTATTTTGTTTTCTATGAGAGACATCATTTATTGCTCTTTTGACAAAAGTATATTGTCTCAATTTAATGTTCTACATATTAAAATATGGGACTGTTTTATGACCAAATAAGGCAAGGGTAGAGCAACAAATGAGAGCAATATTCACTTAACGCAGACACCAATAGTACCAAGCCACAAATGACCATCGGTGTGTTTGTTTGATTGGGTCACCGACACACTACATGTCATATGGCGACGTTCCAGCTTTACTAGTGGAGGAAGACCTTAGTAGCCCTTCCGTGCATAATTTCAGGGACGAACGGACACCTGAGTAGAACCACCGATGTTCCGTAAGCTAGCTGGATAGCTTCCTAACATGAATGAATCCAAAATCCCTGTCGTTTAGGCATCATTTATTATTATTATTTATTTATCTATTATTATTATTATTATTATTATCTGAAATGTATTTGATTCTATATAAAATTTAACTATCTTTTCGAAGACAAAACTTGTGTAATTTAGTATCCAAAACCTAAAAGCGAAAAACAACCACGAACATACAGGACGTTGACAATGATTCTTTTTAGTTTAACTGTAAATAATGCAGTATATGTCATTACTTTAAAGTGTGCTCTTAATCAACTATTAGGCAAAAATCATTGTAAGTCTGGCATAACAGTTCATTTGTATTGCGTGTAAAATTGTTTATCCTATGTGATAATTAGGGTAAACAATAACCACAACAAAAAAGACGTCTTTATTGTCTAAGAATATAATCAAAATATTAACCAAAAACTTCAAATATTTTCGTATAGAAAACAATAGTAGCAAACGTTACAAAAGATGACACAAAGTTGGACAACAAAGTATTTTCACATGAATTAATTAACACATAAATTAATACAAATACAGTTGAACTTAAGTTATATATTAACAAGCAGTTAAATGTACATGCATACCATTAGCTTCGTGATACCCATGCAACAAATTCAGAACAAGGTCAGCCGACACTTCCATGCATCTGGCATGGCTAAGTCAACCATATCTGAAACGTTCCCCTAATAATGATTAATGGTTTTGTCCAAAGTAAAAAGTGGACAATCCCACTTCAGATATTAAGCGTTGAAAGGGATAATTTTCTCCATGTTTACTGTAGCTAAATAAAGAGCCGTCAGTCAATATACAGTTTAGGATATAAATTTAGCATTTTTACATGAAGTGTCTCCTTGAAATGTACACTATTTGCAAATTGATCAAACTCCATTAAGAATACAATTTTGAATATGCCGTCCCTATGGCAGTGAAAGGGTTAATCAACAAATACCTGACTTTATCTGGATAACTATCATCCGGTGCATGTATGTAACTGCGACTAATAAGAGAATTTCTGCGGTGAGTCCATATGATTATGTGGAATAATATTGTCAAGATACTTCTAATACAAGCAGAGTTCTCGTTTTTGCCTCACTAACACGCCTGCGTTCTTGATAGTGCTTGATAGTGGTAACGTGTTTTGGGGGTTACATTATATCGATATACAAGAGGTTAAACATTCTTTTTGCAAATATATGAAATGTAAGAATAGCAAATTCTGTTTAATATAATATATCAAATATATTTGCTTTCATTTTCAATTCAATTAAAATATTTCTATAAAAGGCAACACATTCATTCTGAAAAGAAAATGTAAAAATACTTTTACCTCAAAAAAGTATTTACTCCGAAAAAAAGGACACTATTTATCTCAACGTGCCTATCCCGTTACCAAAGGCGCAAATGTGTAATATTTTCACTGAAAATATTGATAAATCATAAAAAAACACGAATCTTGACGAGTACTGTTGCACTTGATAATCCGTGGCGGGGGGGGGGGGGGGGGGGGGGGGGGGAAAGGAGGGGTGTATGTCAACTGTCAAACAACTCAGCGAGGAATACTTTAGGTTCAGAGGAAGGCTGCAATAACGAAGCATTTATTTAATCTAATGTTTATCATCTACAAATTACAATATCAATCTGGAATAACTATCATATACAATATGTTGTTTAAGTATTGATAAAAATGTCAAAGCAGCGAATATATATGAACCATGTCAATCAATTTGTGGAGCTGCTTCACAGATAAAAGGTAAAAAATCCGAACAAGTACGGTCGTTCCATTGGCCGTTATCATATATAGTACCACAATCCTCGTTGTTGTAAGCATTGTTTGGCTCATTAGGTGCCCAGTTAAAGAAATCACCAGGTCTTTTATTCCCGTTAGATGAGCTCCACTGCCAGTTGTTTTCCTCTTGAGTGTCATGTATTCCAATCCAGAAAGGTCCTGGAAATGAAAGCAAAGCACAAATTGTATTCTTATTCTTGCATCAAATAAGAAGACCATGATGACCATATATCGTTCCTTTGAATATGACTGCTTTGAAAAAGTGTTACGTACCTGATAATGGATCTGGAAATCATCCGAACAATCATAGACATGTTTAGACAATATTTGGGTTAAAAAATGCAGAAATTTGTGGCACAATGTTATCCATAATTTCATCAAAATGTTGCCGCATAGAAAAATTTATGTAGACATGACAGGGAAAGTAAAAGAGCTACAAAGTGGAAAAGTTAAGTACCATTTTAATCATCTTTTATATACAAATAGTGAAAATTAATTTTAAAAAAGAATTTTTCCTTAATGAATGATTGTGTCCATATTGAAAGATAGACATGTCTATATAAGATATTTAATGCGGTAATAGTGCACATTATTTATTTTTACCCATGCAATATGGTGCATTATCAGTCAAATATATACATGTATCATACATTGTATTTGTGAAAAACGAATATGAAAAATAGATATGAATGTGGGCGGAGCCAAAACTCATAATAATTATTTATTTTTGGACTACTTTCTCAGATATTTCTCTTTTGCATTCAGTAGCTTCAGCTATTCATATCATCATCGGAAATTAGCTTGTTTCATTTTTTTTCAAGGCAGTTCTGGCTGTGCTTAATAATAGAATTGAAACATTTTGTGAAAGTAACAGTATTATATCTGATGCTCAATTTGGTTTTCAAAAATGGCGTTCAAAATTGATATTATTCTATTCTATTGTTATTTAAATCAAAATAAACGTCTATAGTAGTTTTTGTTGATATGATGAAATGTTTTGATAGTATTTACAGAAACCCATTGAGGCTCAAAATGTATAAAATAGGTATCCAAGGAGAAATGTTAAGAATAATTAGAGATATGTACCAAAAAAATGTAAAATCATAATGTCAAGTCATGTTCTTGTTATTCAGATTATTTCAATTATGCTATTGGCCTACTTCAAGGGGAGGTAATCAAGTGTATTGAAACGCGCCGACATTTGAGTAAAACACTCAAAATAATTCTTTTCTAGAATTAAAACATTTGAACACCATTCCCGGATAATAAAAATAGTTTTCTTTATGTAAAAATGATTTTTTTCAAAAGACCTACATCTGCATGAATGAAATCTTTATATACAAACTTTGCATAATTTTCTTGAAATGATTTACAATGAAATCATTCTCCTCTTTACTTTTATGTTCAACAGATCGCCACCAGATATCTCGCATTCTTTCTATAAATATAACCGAATCTATCGTCAGAAACAACAACAAAAACAAACAAACAAATTTGTTATTGAGACTTTGCTTAAGTATATAATACAATCGATACATTTTTCTTTTAAGATGTTTCTTCTTATAGACGTGAAGTCAACATTATTATGCTTGAATAATAAGTTGCGCCTAAATTGACAAGAATTATAATTTTTATATTTATTATAAATATTATCACATTTAAAAAAAGGTGCCGCGGACATAAGAAGCACATTAAAATTAAGCATACAAATATTTGTGTTAGTAAACTTAGATTTGTTTGTCAAAGGTACTAGCTATTTGAACCGCTATAAGTAAATATATTTTTCTTTGAACAATACGAGAAGTTTACTTACTTTGGCTTTAAACCAAGTAGTAAGGCCTGTTCCAATTCTATAGCATTGTTTTTCATGTAGTATCCATTGCCCTCCATAACTATGGCAAGTCCCAACTGAAAATTCGGAATGCAATATTAAAATGAGTCAAAGTATTCATGGCATTTGACCTATTTTTTAAGTTAATGTTCTAGAGCAAAATATTTTAATCACAACAATTTATTGAAATATATGAAATTATTACTGAATATAAATAAAACCATGTATAGGAAGCTGCGTTCCCTATTACAGATGAAGTAAAGTTGGTTTTAAAAAATAATAACAAGCTTTTTTGATAACACTATACTATATATTCAGATTGTGACCATCTATATTGTCTAGAATTTTAAACATAACATACATGCATCTACTTTATGAGAAGTTATTTACAAAGAGATTGTGCAGCAATTATCAATATTTTCTAATACAAATTTGAGCATAGCATATGCATGACTTACTTTCTTTGCCTACTATGCTAAATCGCTTGTCCGAAATTTTAATATGTTCTTTCAGTTGATCTTTTAGCTCAGATACTGTATTTTTCAAATTTTCAACAACTGTGTCTAAATCACCAACATTAGCTTCAAGGGAATTTATGGCAACCGATTCGTTCTCTACATGTTTTCTTACATCAGTAACATTTGCTTGCATTTCTTGAAGAACGGATTCGGTTTTCAGGATTTTATCATTAATGATATCGTTTGCATTGACCATAATGCTATCTAATTTCCTTGGCAAGTTTTGTTTAAGCTCATCTACGGTGTCATTGATGTAATTCACACTTGCTTCTGTTGCTGTAGCTTGATTTTGTAACTTATCCTCAACCGATCTTGTCAATTCTGTAAACTCCTGCGAGTAATTCTTTCCAAATTGGTTATAGTAAACAGACCATTTACTTACTTGGTCTTTAACAAACGCATCAGTTGTTTTCATGAAAAGCGAAATATTGCGATTCATATTTTCAGTTTCATTTTGAACACTTGCAATGAATTTTAGTCTTTCAGCTTTCTCGTGTTTTATAGCCTTTCGTACTCTTGATTGGAAATCCCTAGTCTTTTGAGTGGTTAGCTTTGCCTTATCATCATCATCATCATCATCATCTGTTTCAGCTTTTTGTTCAACGTTGCTTGCATTTACAAATTCAGCAAATCGCTCTTCAAGTCTTTCTACTCGTATGTGGATATGTGTATCTAAATGTATATCAGAGAGCACTTAAGTTTTTTTGTATAACAGACTTGTATTGGGTCTCTCAGTTTTAGATAATTTTCAAGAAAGCATGTGTAGTATGAACTACTTTTAACGTTTGATATTTACTGATACATTTGCATTTCGTTACTGTAATCGGACAAAACAACAAGAAATCCGTCAAAACGTATAAGCTAATTTACGCATTTGCCTATTTTGCGGAGCAGATATTATAAAAAGAAAAAGCAAACCGCGAGTGCCATATTATCATTCCATGAAAGAATATAATTCTAATTTCTAATAAGTATGCTTCCAAAACATTGGCTTCTATATAATCCCATATACCGGTATATCTCCGACGATTCATACAAGTTTGGCCACATGCATATCATTTGTTTGATGTAAAACAGATCTCCATCTCTTAAATTTATCAACATGACTGTATGCTATAACAAAATGATAAATTTATAAATGATAAATTAAACATGTACGAATTGGACTTTACCTTTGACTGAATCCGTTTCAATCAACTCAGCTCCATTTACTTTCGTCTGCAGTTCCGAACGTAATTTACTCATCTCAAGTTTTCTTTCAAACATTTCCTGTTGAAGAAGTTGCCTTATAAATGCCAAATCAGCACAGTTGCATTGACCATCACAATTTACTAAGAAAACACTAGCAATAATTACGATAAGGCACAACGGAACTACATTAATATTATTCATAATTTCTCTTGTTAAACGGTAAAGCACACAAAACAATTTTGTATTTTGTTTAGTTCATACTACGATATAAACTTCAACAGCAGAAGAGATTCAGCGTCGTGATACACTTTTTATTTTCCGCAAAAAAACCCACACACTTGAGAGACTTAGGTCAGCTATATTTTCTAAAACTGTATTCTCTTTACTTTCTGAAAATTGAATGCAAGTGAAATCGCTGGATCTCGAGGATTTTCAAAAAACGAGATGAGCTACTCATGCATACTTGAGTTACTACAATTAGTTCAAGAACACCGCCACTTAAAACAGTGATGAAATTCTTTACACATACTAACATCTTTAAATTTTACCCAATTTTGTTAATTAGCTGAAACTATGTTCAACGGATATAAGAAAAAGAATGTATTTACAAATTTAAGTTAAAACTAATTTTTTTACGGCATGCTGTAATTTTTCATCTATTATTAATATCTATTTCATTTATCAAAGCAAATACTTTTACATGGTTTTGTTTACATCCCCATTTTCTGAATAAGAATGAATTGATGTTGCCTTGATTACTAGTAGTTTCAATTTAAGTGAAATAATGTTTCCCTACATCTTTGAATGGAATATTCCAGATTGAAAGTTCGGCGAATCCATTCAGCGTGTTTAATATTAACGCCTATCACTATTATCAATAAAAAGAATCACTAGATACTTTAGTCAATATTATTGATCAGATCCTTCAGAGGTTATGACCTGTACATAGTCGTCAAACAATTCAAGACGTACTGTCAATTATTGATAGACCAATTAAAAATTAATCATTTAACAATATTTATCATGAACATTAAATTCAGATCGGACAACAACACTGTAACAAAATTGGCATTTTGTAAGTTAATTTTATTTTACTTCTAATATTTTCTATCAATGTATTACTTGTAGTTAGAACTTACTGGTATACTCTATATCTGCATTACATTAATATCATCATAAAAAAAGAAATCAGACAGTTAATTGCTACAATTATATCTCTCAGAAATTAACATATGCGAACAATTAATGCACAATGAAAATTAGATATATTTGAAATGGCTCCGACAAATACAACACATATTTTTTTTCGTATCGCCACGCATGTCATTCACTAACGATCAAAGTGAAAGTGTTTTTTTTCCGCCTAAGGTCACTTCTTATACATACTTTACGGACGAAATAACCATTTTAGGTGTATAGATTTATCATATTTATAGACCTTAAAAGATACACAACTTATATACATAATTATATATAAAAGTATCTGTAACTTCAATATTTGTGGATATTTTATATATATTCAGAAGTCATATTTCTATTACAACTATATACAAAATAAGCAAAAAATCTTGGGTTTAATTTGACATATAAGGAGGACAATCTAACACTAAGCACGAGAGAACTATATATTAAAGATATGACTATTGACAAAACTACCTTTATAAAGAATGTTAGTTCATGACATATATTTATTGTACAAGGATATCTTTACAAGCTAATTTTCCTTGCGGTCAATAATACTACAGTTTTTCTTTGTAGTCATGCTATCTTTACCTGTTGGTATTTTGAAAATGAATTATATACTGTCCACGAGACTACGAATCTTATGCTACAGTGAGATTGTTGTATTTCTGTCTATATTTAAGAAATATTACGCTGCTACAGTGACAGTATTGTGTGCGTTTTATTCATTTCAAACATGGAAGGTACAGTCTTCGTACTTATAGATGAAATTGGTTAAAATATTCAAGTGTTTTCGTGATCAACTCGTCGGTTGATAAAAATACCGAAGTTTAAAGGTGAGAGAACGTTGACATTCGTGGATATTATGGATAGAAGATAAATTTTCACTTAAATGACTAATTTATTCGACGTGTTACCATTTACGACTATAGTGGAGTATTTTACATTTTTTCTCTGTGTATGTTAGTTTTTGCTTTGTGTGTGGGAGAGTTTGTTTTGGTATATTCAGTATATGTTAATCTAAAATAAACTGAACTGTTATCATCATTATATCTAAACGGTGTGCGGAATTTCTACATATTTCGAAATTGCAAGGTATGCCCCCTTTTAATTGATAAAAATGTATAAAAAATATAATATTTGGAAATTGGTATACTATTTATTCTATTTTGTATAACAGATATATTTTTTTTTAAATATTGATTTGCACTGATAATAAATAAATCACTGTTTGAATAAAATAAACTTCCCTTTTGAAACGTTTCAAGATATCCATAGTAACTGCTTTAAAGTATAAATTTTACAAAAAAGCTCTGAAAATGGAATGGATACCGTCGTACTGAACATACATGTTAATTATAAGCTTCTTTTGTCTGTAACTTTCAATAAGAAAATCAAAGTACATTTTATTTCAATTATAAAACTGTTTTAAAACCTCATACATTGAGATAAGTATAATTGTATAGATACTATGGGGAAGACTTTACCATTCCGGTATATATGCCAAATGTCTTAATTAACACAAACCGTATTAGAAAAAATATAGGGTGATGGGGTTGTGGTTGTGTTTACATGATTTTATGATTTTAATATTTCGTTTTCTGTTGTATAAGAACATATTGTAAGAGTCTGATAAAAATGAAAATATTTCTTATCTCTTAATTGGTCTGTTTCTTATGCTTGTTTCTAGAACAACTTCCAAGATAATCAAGAAGAAAAAAATAAAAACAAGCAGTATAGCAATATAAAGCCAGGAATAAGGAGTCTTTTAATTGATTTGTAATTTAAAACGCTCGAAACCTATCTGAAGATTGTGTCCGTTGCTAGGGACTCCAATTTCACGCAGGCGTGTGAAATCAATATTTCATTTCAGATTTACGGTTTTATGTCGATAAATTCTGTTCTTTCCCGTAATCTTCTAATTTTCTTGATTCTTATAAAAAGAAATTTATGGTGGCTGATATACGCCATGTCGTGCTTTCATTTCTTTGCCTCCAAAATTCGGAAACACGAATGGAAAGTTTGGGCGTCTATTGGTGATATCGCTTTTTGGGTTATCGAAGCAAAAAAGCGGAAATACGACAGAAGAAGGGCGACAATATGATAAGTCTGTCGTTTATTTGAATTTCATCTGTCGTATTTTCGCTTTTGGCATAGTTGCATTTTGAATTTTTCGCATCGTTGTGTTTTCGCTTTTCCCATTTTTTGTATTTTGACTTTTTCGCATGTTGAAATTTCGCTCTTTCGCATTGTTGTATTTTTACATTTCCGCTTTTTTTTGCATTTCCGCTTTTATCGCAGCTTCACTTTCCAGTTTGATTACACATATATGCTGAAGAGTAACCAAAGGGTAAATTTCATATATGTAATCAAAATATTATCCACAAGCACATTCTGTCACATTTTATAATAACTGCCTTTAAAATTAACGATGCGAAAAAAGCGAAAATGCAGAAATACGAAAATGTAATAAAGCGAAAATGCGAAGTGACGACAAAGTTAAAAAAACAGCATTATTTTTATATAGATATTTTTTTACTTCGTCTTACATATTTATGAAAAAAAAACCTAAATATCCTAAACTGTATATTGACTGACGGCTCTTTTTAGCTACAGTTAACATGTAGAAAATTAACCCTTACAACGCTTAATATCTTAAGTGGAATTGTCCACTTTTTACTTTGGACAAAACCGTTAATCATTGTTAGGGGAACGTTTCAGATATTATGGACTTAGCTATGCCAAGTGCATGGAAGTGCCGGTCTGCACTTGTCGCATGGGTATATACAGTATACACGAAGCTAATGGTATGCATTTGCATTTAACTGCATTTAACTGCTTGTTAATCCACAAATACCTGACTTTATCTGGATAACTATCAGTTTCTATGTAATCCGGTGCATGTATGTAACTGCGACCAGTAAGAGAGTTCTTTTCCTTTTATAAGATCAGTTCATAAATATATTATTTTGTGGCATACACTGTAGTTCGATTCTACGCTTAAATAAAGCATTTTAGATAACTTCTGTTTTCGAAAATTAGCAGATATTAAAATTGTCTAGAACAAAATAGAATCAATAAAATAGAAAAGTGTTACTAAATAACTTAGAACTTAATCATTTTTTCAAGCAATATTTTATAAAATTATTCAAATGATACATTTCTATTGTTTTATCAATATTTGAAATGCCTCTTTTGCCTATTGTTAAGGAAGCGTCCTGGTGCCAATTTAACATGTTCTATAAAAATGAAAACTCCTACGTAGGAGATGAAAAGCCTAATTAGGACTTTATAAATCCTACGTATGACTTTAAAACTCCTACATAGGTGATAAAAACCTAATTAGGAGTTTGTAAGTCCTACGTAGGACTTTATAACTCCTACGTAGGAGTTACAAAGTCCTAATTAGGCTTTTTTATCTTTTAAGTAGGAGTCAAAAGCCCTACGTAGGACTTATAAACTCCTAATTAGGCTCTTTTATCTCCTACGTAGGTGTTATAATGTTTCACATAACACCTTAAATAGGCACCAGGACGCTTCCGTATATTGTAGACCAACCCACTTTAAATGAACGTAGATTTTTAAGAACAAACTTTTATCATTATAATAGTCTGGAACCTGGATATTTACGGATGATATATATTAGTGATGACGTGTTGTTTTACGTTGCAAGAACAACATGTCCCTGAAATCCCCTTCATATCTTGTTTTATATCTATAATAAACATTATATGCATAGTTTATGTTTCTTATATATACATGTTTAGGGTAGGAGGGTGTGTGTTAGACGCCAGGCACCTGTGGCAAGAGTCATCTAAATCAAATGGTTTCTTAATTATTTCTTTCTCTTCTAGATCTTGACAAAATATCCACCCATTGACATATGACCTGCACGTGTTGAGGAAAACTGTTGTTACACAGACGTATGGACAATGTATCATGGAAGAAGACGGTTGAGTAGACTTTGCAACGTGATAGCCACGTTATTGTTCTGTTTAATATTCTTATTGGTTTTAAAACGTATGTGCTTTATAACATTTTCATATTACCCAAATCCACCATTGGAACCTAAAAATAGAAATCAAAAAGACCATGTGGTCACGTACGGAGCCAGTTACTTGAAACCAGCTTTTCTAAAAACTATAGTGGTTTGGACGCGTTATTTCGGAGAATGGGGATGGGAGATTATAGCAGAAAATTCAATGAAAAGCTGCCCGACTAAATGTATGTACACACGAGATAAAAACCTACTAGAGAATGCGAACGCGGTGTTATTTAATGCCAATGATATGTGGAAATATCGAACTTTAATTGGCACGCTTTATGAATTCCCTATACCAATGCCTAATGTGAGAACACCGAACCAAGTCTGGATCTTACTGAGTATTGAACCAATGAATACAATGCGTGTTTCTATGAACCAGTATGGATTTAACTGGACGACATTATACAGGAGGGAATCCACCGTATACTACCCATTTACAAACCGGTTTAAAATGTCTCCAGATGAAATAAATAAGAGTGAAAAGCATTCCAAAGGAGTGTCTGAAAATCATTTCAAAACCAAAACAAAGTTCGCTGCAACCATGATAAGTAATTGTGACGATGATGCAAGAAGGTATAAAATAATCAGGGAATTGAAAAGATACGTTGACATCGATGAATTTGGGGATTGTTCTGGAAATGTGATATGTCAATACCGGAAATCCCCGAACGAATGTAAGCAACTCTACGAGTATAAATTCTATTTAGCTTTTGAAAATAGTTTCTGTAGGGACTACGTTTCTGAGAAATTTTGGTTGACATATGATAGAGGGCAGATCCCAATAATTGCCGCACCGAAATACAATTTAGAGATGTTGCCGCCTAAGTCTTACCTTAATGTGTTTGATTACAATAGTATTCAGGAACTAGCAGACGAGATGGTCAAGGTCGGAGATAATGAAACGCTTTATAACAGTTATTTTGATTGGATGAAAATTTATAAGCGTGAGAAGAAATCCATATATTGCAGATTATGTGAGGAACTTTATGCCAACAGAACAGCACAAAATTATATTGACATGGATGAATGGATCAATGATGATATTTGTGAAAAGCAAACGGTAAGTTTTTAGCCCTAGCATCATGGCAATACAAATGTTTTCATCAAGTGTCAAATATCACGAAAGGGACACGCTTGTTGATGAAATTGCATTTCAGTGTTTCAAGTTCTGTTTAAATTTTAAGGCCAACTTCGCCTATTAATGCTATTATATTCATTTTTTCAAAGCGTTTTACTTATGATGTCATGTCACAGTTTCCTAAAAGATACCCATTGGTTATATAATGAAAAGTCTTTCGCTTCTTTTGTATTATTTTTTTTCAAGTGTTTTGTTTGGATGACAAAAAAACCGACTCTGTGTGGAAGACAAAACACATTGTTTGCATTTTATTATCGTGATCACAAGTTGTTAAGCATTTGCCATATGTTCTTAATCTGTTATTAAGTACATGCTTTGCTCTTGTTACAGAAAGGCATAAAAAGATATTTATTTGGAATTGACGCTTGATGTGCCTTTAAATTGTATGCGATTGAAGTTTGATTGTGGTTCAATTTTCTTCTATTGTACAATGTACAATGAGTTATGGGTTTTCTTTTGTTGTTGTTTTACATTTCTATAATTTCATTTCTCTTTCAGTTATGGTCATCGCTGTCGGCATTAATCGAGAGGTGGTTGTTTGACATCGGATTGGTATAAACAGTTATGTGCCACATAACAGATCATATGTGTGCATACTGCAGTCGTCCTCAGTCCTGGTAGAATGATGGCATGAACTTCGATCGTCAGATTCCATTTAAAATGCTAAAAAGAAAAGCATTGATGCAAAGCATCAAAGGGCGTCCAAGCAAGAAATGCAGCAAGTGAGGATGAACTTGTAGACATCTGATGGCCAGATATCCTTTTTAATTGGTTAATTGGTTTTTACCAGAATTGTATAATATTTATGAATGGGCGGACGAAAGACATTGTTCATCATGAACTTTCGTAGGCATGCTAGAGATTAGAATATTAAATGTTTTCCCACAGGGACTTGAAATTCTATCAATATTAACGATACTATCCAAAACATACAGGTTTATAATATCCAATCGCAATGATCGGCTATTATGGCAGACGAGAAATTGCAATTGCTCTTTCACAAAATCTGATTTCATTCCATAAAGGGCGTCGCGCTTCGGCGCGGACGCCAATGATGATACCGTTATGACATTAAAGGTTATAAAGCTATATCTCATATGTATGTCATGATCTTTAATTGCCATTCCTGAGTATGGTGGTATTGTGATATAAATGTATCTGCTAGTTATTGCTTTTTCTTCTGGTAGAAGCTTAACACTGAATTGCTGTTGACAAGCGTTCCATTCTTAATGTGATTTTTTAAAATATTGATAAAAAGTTATAAACACTTGAAATATATAACTTCGATGTGATTTTATTTTTTTTCAAGAGGAAGAAAAAATGTTTATAGATTTCTTAGTATTTATATGACAAATGATATTCATATATTTTATGAGAATAATTAACTATCTGCTATTAAAAGACGTGTCATATCGGACCATTATATAGTTCTTCATAAAAAAATGACACCCTTAAGCAGTGTTGGTGACAACTCGAGGCATAATTGGTTGAGTTAGAACTTAGAAATGCCAGTCTGTTCGAATTCTTAGGTTGATTGACACGTTATCTTTATTGGCGACATTTGGACAATTGTAAAATATTGCTTTCATTTCAATATCAGACTGGTTCACGGGACAACAGAAATATTCATGGAATGTCTGTCTGAATTACATGTACGTTCTATGCAAGATGTGTCTATGTTGTGCCATGTAATGCCTTGTCATTTTATGATATTAAAATTATTATTATACATTAACAGTGAAACAAATGAAATTAATTTACATATCAATTTATAATATTTTGTAGATAACAAAGACATGTACATATTGATTGAACGATTTTGTGTTCTTAAATTTTCTAAATAATTTTTTAAACTTGTTGTAAATGCCTTATTCGAATTATTATTATTATTATTTATTTATTATTATTATTATTATTATATAATATGTTTTTTCCTTTTAAAATTGAAAAGTGATATTACTTTGCATATCCTTTTTACATTATTTTAAATAAATGTATATTTATTGTTCGTGTCTTTTAAATTACTTTCTTAAATCACAATTTCACCTTGCTGCATTCGATTTAATTTGTCTGCAACGCACTGTATAACATGCCATACAACTATACAGAACAAATTATAACTATACCTAAAACAGAACAAATTATTACTGATATCATGCTATATACATATCAAACGAAATTATACATGTTTACCATGACAGTCGCATTCTATACTTTAGTATATACTATTACATAATTTATACCAGATCATGTAACAGTCAATATCTCATACCATCTATAATAAACAATTATTGACTAGTGAGCCATTGAATATGATGTGGTATTCACCGGCAGATGACATATTGACCGAGGCGATAGCAGAGGTCAATATCACTTTCTGCAGATGAATATCACATGATGTTCATTGGCTCACTAGTCAATAATTGTTTTATTATATGAACAGACTAAGAAATAAAAAAAAAATCACCAAAAGTACAACCTTATATACATGTACAAATTTTGCCTCGTTGTAGCACGGGAAAAAACGCACGTGTTAGGCGTGCAACGACTACGCGAACGCTGCGCATACAAAAGTAATTCAAGTTTATACTCATCATTGCGGTGTAGCCTTTAAGTATAACAGTAAAGAATTGATATTTTGATCGAGACATATGCCATAAAGAACAAAACGCAACAATTAGTTTTTAATTAACACGCGTAATTAACAGTCTACGGAATATGAGTCTCAATCTATTTTTAGACTTGGAAAATCCAATTAAGCCAGTGAATATGATGCTACACCCAGTGAACATGATTTGATAAAAAGTTCCGTTGAATACTGTTTGGACCAATGAGATTGCAGATATATTTACATCATATAATAGCTCACACTATACCATACCAAACGAGATATACTTTAAATATTTATTATTTTATTATAGTCTTATCTAAATATACATATACAATTAAAACAATATACATACAGTAAATTGTATAGCCATTCTTTTAAGAATTATAACAGACTGTTATAGTTTATAAGAGGGGCAACTCCACAGTCCATATTACAGAGATCTATAATTTCTACTGTAGATTTACCTCCCTTATTTACACATTTACATTTCAATATAAACACATCATAATTATCATCTCTTAGACATTTACAAGTAAAACAGCATATTCCAAGCATTGAATGTTATACTTAAAATAATAAAATTGTACTGATATCTATACATACAACATAACTGTATGATTACATTAGGGTTGTTATTATTAAAATGGAAGAATGAAATCGCATTACTTTACTAAACCCTAAATGGTTGTCTCCTTATAAATGTACTAAAATCATCTACACATACTTATTATATTTTATACATTCTAAAAGTTTGATAACAACCACTGATCTCAACTTAAAATCTGCCATAAGAAATTTGTTAATAAAATACTGAAATTTGTAAACGTGACACTATTGCGCATAATAAAAAATGTCTAACAAAATCAAATATCACTCATGGTCAAACCATGGACGAACTGGTCAGTGGTGATTATCAAAACAGAAAGATAAAATATTCTAGTTGGTTTAGAAATACATTTATAACATTTATACAATAAAAGTTCTTTTGCTATTAAAATGTTCATTTTAGGCAGGAGGTGAGACAAACACATCAACTTCAAATTTTTGAAATAAATAATGTATATCCTCACCTCCACTAAAATGAAGCAATTAAAATATATATTTGTTGGTATAAAAAATCTCTTATAACATTAAGTATATCGTAGCAGGAATTTGCAATATGTTTGACAATATCATCATTTGACAAGAGGAAGCAAACCTTGGCAATATCATTCACTATAAGGATTAAACAAAGTACAATTTTCAGCAGCATTTTCAAATAATTTATTTCGAATATCAGTGTACTGGGGGCAATGCAATAATACGTGCATCTCATCTTCAATGCCATTATTACAAATAGGACATACACAATACTCTATCGTTAACATTTAATATTTCGTATCTGCCAATCTCCAATCTGATTGGTGCAACACCATATCTAAATTTAGCCAATGCTGATCTATGGCAATAAGACATACATTTATTGACATAGTGCTCCTGTTCAAAATCAAACTTAAATTTCTGATATAACCTTAACTTGTTTCTACCATCACCAGATTTACTAAATACACAATGAACTGATCTAGTCCTTTCATCTATCAATACATCCATTGCATTCTTCACAATTGTATCAACAACAACTATTTTTGTACAGTCACTAAAATCTACACAACAAAATTTTATAAAGATGTTTGTAATCCTAAAATGCCAGTTGCTACAATTTCTACTTGCAAGGTTATAACATTATTTTGATATCTTGAAATTTACTCTGTTTTGACCCATATTTGTCAATTACACCAACAGTTACCAACACATTTCAATTGTTTAACATAAACTGGATCCAAACCCATATCACCGGATTCAGCTGAGCTTGGAATGTATTTTCCTGTACCTAAGAAAAATCTCATAGCACGATTTTCTACTGGTTCTATACAAGAGAATTTCATAGTCCCCCAAATGGCAGCACCATATGCTATAACTGGCCACACCATTGAGTCATAAAGCTAATATACTATGCCATATACCATACTTCATGCAAGTATGTACCATTTATCCCCGTTGAATTGTTGAAAATCATATTTCTTTAGGGTTAACAACTGTAATAAAATGCTTAAATAACAAAATGCATAGAATGAATCATATTCACACATGTTTTTTTTTTCATAATTTTTATATAATACATATTTTAAATTTCAGTCTGTCACCTACACTTAGTCTAGGTAAGATGCATTTTTACCAAGTTATATATATATAATTAATTATAAAGATTTCCGACAAATTATATGGCTCACTTAAGCAGTCGTTAGCTCATATAAACCAAGCCGCTAAGCAATGTTTATATGGCAAACAGCCGTTTATACATGACCATTTAACTTGCCAGACATCTTTATTATACAAATTTACAATATAGCAGAATTACTTTTTTGGGGGGAAAACTCAAATTAGTTTATGATTTAACAGAAGCAGTGCATATAGGTTATATAGATCAAGATTATCTAATGAAAGGCGACGTTACAAATTTGTAGTATTACAAACATTTACATCAAATTACTTAACGCTGTTTGAAGGTATACAGGTTACTTATACTTAGAATATATTAAATGTATGAATTAACGTCAAAATGTAATGTATTTAAGCACGTTTATAACCTATCTGAAATGAAAAGGTTTGTATATTTCCTTAAAAGCAAATGGCATATTTACGAAATTTTTATTGAACATTTATCAAAGTGCAGAATAAAAATATGCTTGATATCTGTTACCTTATTTTTCTTTCAGTACATTAAGTAACAGCCTGATAAAATCATACATAATTATACAGTTTGCACTGATGAAAGGAAACATGGGGAAATATTGTGAACTATGCAAACATTCAATCATTCCTGTCTTGATCATCATTCGTTCACTTCTTCAGGTTTTACGTTTTATTAAATAACAAAACTGGCAGATAGTCTTTGTAACGACAGACAGAGTAAACTGTGCGACATTCCAAAAACGTTAACTATGTTCTAGAGATATATCGCCAGCCCAGAACCCCTACATAAAATGGCAACATATTTTCTTATTCCTGAGCAGTTTATTGTTTTCGTGCAAAACACATGTGAGACATTCTATGTTGTA